CAACGAGGAAACTTCTCGGCTATGCTCGGGGCATTCATATCAAATATAGATATACCTATTGTTATTGAAGGAGTCAATTTAGTTATATTTATATATTTAATGACAATTTCGTTTGAGCCAGATTCATCAAGTAAAGAAGGTGGAGAAAAAATATCCAAGTCATTAGAATTTGGAGTGGTTGACAGTTGCAATCTGCTATTCTAATTGATCTTCAATATGATTAAACGGCAAGATAGGCATGGTTACCTTTTATGGGTTGAAGTCCTTCATCATCTAGACAATCACTGTGTACAATAGTCTGACATATATTGCTGTTTACAGTATATGTAAAGACACTTTATTTGAGTGATATAAACAATTTAAAAGATTATGTAAAAACCCAATTGAGAAGAAAATTATTACATTGTGAATGTTTCCTTCTATTCTACCCAATAATACCATCTTCCTCACACTTTTCCTGACACGGATGACTGAGAGCACCAAGTTTTCTCTTTAGTCTAGTCTATTTCTACCAAGTTAGGGCTAAATTTAATCATACATAGGGGTCGAATAATACATTTAGTTTCTTTCAATCTAAAACCATTTTCAGGTTTTATCGATAAGGTTGAGTTCTGGTCGTGCGATTGCATCGTGAAATAAACATGTCTGGAAGTACTTGGAAAAGGTCGCTTATGTAACACATAACTATCGGTGTATTCTTTAAGGGTGAGGAATCTTTAACATTTTGATACAAATACTGAGTGTTTCTGAAAGTCACATGCAGTGTAATAATAATAAATATAATAATAAAAACGGTACTCATAAAGCGCTTATCACCGAAGTCTCTAAGCGCTATAAACAAACAAAATAGACTGATAAACAAATATGTATTAAACAAAACAAAAAAGTGCAAATAAACCTACAAATTACAAATACATATGAAATACACATCAATATGAACAGAGTGAGTTAATCATCAAAAGCAATTTTTAATAAATTTGTTTTGAGACAAGTTTTGATTTGGTGAACAGTTTGACAGTTTTTGACATTTAAAGGTAGTCTAAACATATTTGTGGCTTACACCCAGTAAATAAGATCGATTGATCGATCTGTATTGAAAAACAAGTCAGAAAAATCTTGGAACCAGCGGGATTTGAACCTGCCATCTACTGCTTGCCGGGCAGCAACTCTACGACCAGGCCATCACTGGTCCATGGCACAGTCACGATGAACTAGAAACAAATACCTAAGCTCTCCTGATCGATCAATCGATCTTATTTACTGGGTGTAAGCCACAAATATGTTTAAATAATTGAAATTTCTCCCAGGAAGCATTACATTTATAAAGGTAGTCTGTTCCAAAGTTCAGCAGAAGCTTTGCAAGAAGAGCGATGACCATAAGAAAAAGTTGACACCGACGTAGGCACGTGGTTGAATTGTGAAGATGACCGTAGATTGCGTGAGGGTTTGTATTCCTGGATTAGTTTTTGCAGATAAAATGGTGACAATTCTTGAATGCAGTAAATCCAAGATTTTGTACATAATGCGGTACGTCACCGTCAACCAATGCAATTTGCGAAGTAATGGAGTAATGTGTTCACAAGAACGTGTGCGTGTTACAAGCCTGGTAGCAGAGTTTTGGATTCTCTGGAGTTTTGCAAAGTGCGAGTCCGGAAGGCCATAAAGATGGCTATTGCATTGATCAAGACGGCATGTAATAAATGCGTGTAAAAGCGTTTCGGTAGATATCAAAAAAAATTTCTAATACAACCTGTTTTGTACAAAGGCGTATGAAGCTGAGCGACAAATATTTTGTTTATAATCATCCACCCTAAGATGTATATACACTGTCGCTCATAAAAGTGGAATATTTTTTTTTTACCCCAATTTATGGAATTATTTTAAAAATAATTTAAAAATAATAGATCTAGATAATAGTATACATACTCAAATTTTTATTGAATAACAATTTGCCAATGTGTGTTTTGCGTGACTGCTAAAGCATGTGTAGTATGCTACTATGCTTATCAAGTAGGGGACCTACCCCCGTAAGTCATAAATGACAGTAATGAGGATTAATGCCCCACAAAAGGGCACTAATATAGCACATCGACACGGTTTTGATCCTGGGGCTTCACAGTTACGAGGTCATTGCTTTGTCACTGAACCATGACTGTACGCATCGTAGGGTAGGGGGCAGTTTCCATAAATAAAAAAAAAACAGAAAATGCAATAAATTTTCAATAATTTATTGCATTTTACCCCGGTTCCCAACATAAACAAATCTTCTGTGTGCATATGCCTTGAGCCATAATGCATGGCCGTCGAGAGGATTTTTTTTATGTTGGGGACCGGAGTAAAATCCAATAAATCATTGAAAATTTATTGCATTTTCTGTTTTTTTTTTTATTTATGGAAACTGCCCCCTACCCTAGCCCCCGCTGCGTATAGTCATGGTTCAGTGGCAAAGCAATGGCCTCGTAACTGTGAGGCCCCAGGATCAAAACCATGTCGATGTGCTATATTAGTGCCCTTTTGTGGGGCATTAATCCTCATTACTGTTATTTATGACTTAAGGGCATAGGTCCCTCAGTTGATAGGCATAGTAGCATACACATGCTTTAGCAGTCACGCAAAACACACATTGGCAAATTGTTATTCAATAAAATCTCAATATGTAAACTATTATGTAGATCTATTATTTTTTAATTATTTTTTAAATAATTCCATAAATTGGGGTAAAACAACAATATTCCACCTTTATGAGCGACAGTGTATATGGGACTTAGTATAAATTTGGATGAAAGTTGTGCCACTCTATTCATCCTATCCTTGTCATATTTTGCTTACGAGGCCATCACTTTCAGCGGACACTTTTCCATAATACTCTTACGTACTTACCCTAAAAGAACGAAAAAAGCTCACAATTAATTTTTCAGTCATATTGTGCATAGGCTTTGAACTTAAGCTGCTCCGGACACAGCGAGAGGCTGACAGAGCTGCAGGCTCTGTTCGAGGCTTTAGGAATATATCTCAAGTGTCAAATTCGAGTCTGTGCCTGCAATCTAGGGTAAAGTAGGGCGAGAATTCGGGGAAAATTCTCGTCTTGATCAGTACTCAAGATTACCTCATCCTTGAAAGCATAGATTTATCTAAAAACTGTATTCTGCTCTATGTGATGACGACATCGAATAGGTATGATAGGTGAATTTAGGTACCTGTAACTGTAAGCAAAATAACAGTGTTGTATTCTGCATCACAAACAGCATGTCCCTGTTCCAAGTATATAAAGAAGGAAATTGACCTCGGAAAGCGTGTCAAACTACCGTTACGAATTCCATCATGAGAAGTTTGCCAATAGAATAGGTAAATTAACATTTTCCAACTATTGAAAATGAAGGGGGAAAAAAAAAGGAGATGAATAGAAAGGGGGTCGGTGTTATAAAGGCGCGCCTGTTGGTATGGTGACAAAATTAATTAAACATGTGCATGACAACTGCTTTTTATCGATCTTCAACATTCCTGGTATGCTTACTTTGGGACCATGCCTTACATAGTAATGACTCAGAAAATAGAAGTCTAATGACATTCATGTTGTCTTGAATGAATGCTGTAATCTGATTATACATGGATTGAATAATATTACACACGTAGACAAGGACTGAGAAAAAAATTACGCAAATGAAATTCGGTACAACCATGATGATTAGAGCCCGAGAAGTCTAATGGATTTGATGAATGCGGATCTAATTTCCTAATTGCAACAGCAGGCCAGACGTCGAGCCGTGAACATTTGGGATGATTCAAGGAGAATGAAGGAGAGGGAGAGAGAGAGAGAGAGAGAGAGAGAGAGGGAGAGAGAGAGAGAGAGAGGGGAGAGAGAGAGAGAGAGTGAGAGAGAGAGAGAGGGGGGGGGGGGGGGAGAGAGGGAGAGAGAGAGAGAGAGAAAGAGAGAGAGAGGGAGAGAGAGAGAGATGAAGAGAAAGAATGTGTGGATAATTATCGATGGATGTTTACATCAGATTACATGATGCGACAGGGGTGTAGTGATGAGGGCGAGTGCCCTCTTCATGGAATGACATGCACAGTAAGAGAGAAAGGGAGAGAGGGAGAGAGAGAGAGAGAGGGGGGAGAGGGAGAGAGAGAGAGAGAGGGGGGAGAGGGAGAGAGGGAGAGAAAGAGGTTGAGAGAGAGAGGGAGAGGGAAATATATATATATATATATATATATATATATATATATATATATATATAAAGAAAAAGAATTTTCTGTGTGTGCGCGCGTGTGTGTGTGTGTGTGTGTGAGAGAGAGAGAGAGAGAGAGAGAGAGATGATAAGATGAATTACAAATCGCTGTCTAATTAACAAACTAAACCATTTTCATGATTAAGTCAATACTACTTTTATGTTCTTCGCTAGTCAAAATAATGCAAGACTACATCTTCAGATAGGTACCCCCTCCCCATGGCTGGGCCCCGTTACGCCACTGGCTTGTCAATGAGACAATGGACATCACATTCAATGCGACGTCTTTGCAGTCATTTGCTTCCCAACTCCGGATTACGAAACGTTACTGGATATACATTACTGAGTACAACAAGACAAACTTTTTAGTCTAAACAGATTATTACATGCAACCACGCGTAAACAATTTAATCTTTTCGATTCCAAGGCTGCTTTTTATAGTATTACATTTTTGTACTTTATGAAGCAACAGAACATGAACCAAGCCACAACGCAGTTAAAAACAACTTCTCCAATGTAATTAGTTTGAATAGAGAGTATAGGCGACCGTTTAGCTTTTATTTTAACCTTGTTTAGTACGCTTACGAGGCTAATGGGAGGGAGGCCTGCACATAATTATACGTATTCTTAGAGCTTGATAATCACTTGTAGGATTTCTTTGATGAGCGAACAAGAATGCGTCATTTCCATCCATACTGCATATGTGTTGTTACAATACGCCCATTTATACCCATTATATCAGCAGTCGATGAATTGAGCGCCCGTTATCCTCATCCACAGTTTCGAGGGCGTCGAATTCATCGAGTATCATAGCGTGGATATCACTGGAGCTCATACTCTGTTTTTTAATTTCACAATCGTCACTGTTCTTCGAACGTAGAACTCTCTGAAATGCTGTAGGAATAAATTTTTGACACCAACTTATTGATTTGAAAACTGAGCATCGCTTCATCTTTGCTGTAAGTATGAATTCGATTTTCGTTTTAATTTCTGTAGAATTATTCCGAAATACGAAAGAAATTATTCGTTTCTTCAATTTACTTAGAGTGTATTGCGAAATCCGCATTTATCCCATTTTAAAGTAAAAAGTCACTCTGTGAAACTTATCCCATGAAGCCTTACAATCTTTGAGTTTTCATATTGCAAAGTTGGAAAATGTACAATTCTCCTGAAAGATTGTTTTCGTTTCCGTTTTTCATAAAACCAAACAAACAAACGTTAGAATCCTTTATTTTTTTGGATAAGTTTTCACATATCAAGACCCCTTCCCCCTCCCCCTGAGGGTCATTATAGTGGTTTTGATAATTTTACTCCAATACTTGTTTAATATTCTTTACTTTATATTGTCGAACATTTCTTACATAACTACAATCTGTTACTAAAACAAAGTAGTTCCAGTATATAAAAAAGGTGATCTATATGATTTTACGAATTATCGATCAAAGTCGTTCCTGATTTGTTTCTCAAAGATACTAGAAAAAAACTGTATATAAAATATTATAATAGATACAAAGATGAAAATTACTAAATAATATCTTATATATTGGTCAGTACGGATTTAGAACCAACCATTCAACGGAAACGGCTTTCATAAACAATTTACATTCAGGACAGATATGATTTTTGACTAAAATGATAATAAACATGTCATCGGAGTGTTTATGGACCTTTCCAACGCATTTGAATCTCTTTATCTTTCTATTCGAGGCGGGTACTAACTCGGTCTTTGCAGATCCAAATAATATCCCTAACACAATTAATCATGCCACACATATCAAAACACACACAGAGGCACACTCAGTCAGTCCCACACACACATTCCCACACACGCACACACTTCCGCGCACTCGCACATTCAGATAAATGCAAAATACACGCAGTCAAGTCATTATTACGTAATGAACATTCCTGTAAAATCATACATTTCCCATTCAATATCAAAATGGAATTTAAATTCAATAATAATGCCATAATGAAAGTTTGGTGCATTAACATCGTAATGAATTGTTTCTCCCACAGGATTCGGTTAGTTTGCATCTAAATGTGAGTGTGTATGTGCGTGTGTGTGTGTGTGACTTTGCTTCTGAAAAAAGCATATGCAATGCATCTCATTTGATACATCCAATTCATTCTCTCACCCTAATACTTTTGCCCAAGTCGAATTTTGCACTCTCGCAAACGAAGCTACCTGTTCATCCAAGCGTGAACACACACCCCTCACAAATTATACCAACCGATTCGGGATTTAACACTCTATAAAAACTTGTATAATAACCTTTCGTTCATAGCTGACTTTTAAATTAAATGACAGTTTTTCTGAGTGAAAACTTTTTTTTTTACTCACACGATAAACCGTAGAATATTTGCTATACGGCATGCCTACTTATACAAGCTAGAACTTGGCTTTTAAATACCTGCCCTTTTCCGATGATTTTGTTTGTTTGTTTTACTTCATTTTTTATTTTATCCATTTCTTTTTGTATAAATTTTGTATCCGTCGATTTTGTGTATTTTTAAAAACATTTCTGTCCGTTTGCATACCTCCTTTCGTGTAATTGGAAATAAATCCGAATTGAAATGAATTGAATCAGTAATTAATTCAGAATATAACGGTATTTGTTGATCGTGCACTACATCTCCCATTGCATAAGACGAATGACATAAGCGTACTTATTAAAGAAACTTGATAACAAAAATTATTTTAAAAAGAAGTAAATGCTTACGACTTTGTGTTTGTTTTAATTGGAATTCAGTTGCTTAAACACTTTGGATTAATATTTCGTTATAGCCAAAATGATGCTATATCGAACTTCATATCGTAAGTGGTTATTAACAGTTGGATGGACATAGGGATGAAAGACTCGTATAAGAGTAGAATGGACGTCCTCTTTCTCTTGTGGGTCAAGGACCCCATTCTCTAGGATGCCGAGAAGTTGAGTGTTCGCAACGTGTTCTGCTTCATAAGGTTCATCTTTATTGTCCATTTAGCGATGGAAATTTGTGGTATTTACATGGTATATGGATACATAAAAAGATAGTCATACACACAAACACTCACCCACACCCATACCCACGCACACACACACACATACACACATATATATATATATATATATATATATATATATATATATATACGTTCATACAAAACAACTAATAAAATGAAAGATATTTTGAGTCAACAGGAATAGAACTACTCCCAAGGAAACACACATTGATATGTCATGCATTTAATATAAAATACATGTATACAACATAATATGCTTCATAAGGTTCATCGTAATTGTCCACTTAGCGATGGAAATTTGTGGTATTTACATGGTATATGGATACATAAAAAGATAGTCACACACACAAACACTCACCCACACCCATCCACACACACACACACACACACACACACACACACATATATATATATATATATATATATATATATATATACGTTCATACAAAACAAATAATCAAATGAAAGATCTTTTGAGTCAATAGGAATAGAACTCCTCCCAAGGAAACAAACATTGATATGTCATGCATTTAATATAAAATACATGTATACAACATAATATGCAAAGCCGATGGGTATTACAGGTGTAAAATGTATTATATTATATCTCTATAATTTAAAAAAAAACAACTATCATTTTAAATTTGATATTATTATTATTCACACGTGTGACGTGTCACAAAGATTTTACCAACATTGTTGGCATACATTCGGTTTATCTTCGCAAGGACAGAGCGAGAATATGGCATAGACTTCAAAGAAAAATCAACCCGCGCCACTTTCAATAGCCTTGTACACCACATTTCTGTAATAAGAGAACGTCCTAATGACATATAACGTAATCTCAAACATTATTTCTAAACTCATTGCCCTTCAGTTGATGTCGTACTGAACACAAACAACAATTTTACTCTTATCTTGACCATTATCACCTGTCTGATTCAAAGCAACTGTTAATATAAGAAGTATGACAGCATGAGCAAAATATATTTTAATGAGGGTTTAAGAAGACTTCAAACTAAGCTATCGTTGCTTTATCTTTTCGTTTATTCTTGTGTCTTACTTTGATGATTGCAATACAAATAGCTTCATTATGTTTTTTTTCTCCCAGAGCTATCCGTTCAAGTTAATTGAACTGAGTAGATCGAGCAAACAAATGATAACACTGATGAAAAGAAGTAACCCAGAATAATATATGCGGTTTATAATCTAGCGGTTAACCATTGAGATTGAAATATTCATAACAAGGTTGCACTTATTTATGTATTTATTTATTTAAAACTGTTTATACAGGATGAAAATATCAGCCATACCTGTTTGCATTTAAATTACATGACATCAATATCGCGGATTACTTTTCTGCATCAGGTGAGTAATATCCCTCCAATCCCTAAACCCAGAAATCCTATGAAGTTACTACTCGAAATACGAAGCACTTGCTTATTAATATAGTTCACAATAAGGGCAAGAGTGGTAGTGTAATACCCATGAGACAGGTCAGCTGGCAGGTTAATTGTTTGGTCAGCTCACGTACGCACCAGCACACACCGCACACGCACATGCAGATACCAATACGCACGCACATCGCCCACACACCTCGGCCCTCTGTAATACACCCACCTCCAGTTAGTTATGTATGTACGTTATGTGGAATAGTTCAAAATATCCAGTTGGAATAGTTTGTATCTTTTCAGACTGAAATTTATCTATTAATCTATCAATAAAGTTCCGTTAAGATATAAGCTATGTCTATCAAGAAGAAACCATATTGTCACAATAATTTCATAAAAAGAGGTAAGAAAACAATTAGTCCAACTTATGGGCAACAGTATTTGATTTGATTTGATTGATTGGTTTTTGCATCTTTTTTCTTTTTTTTCATCATACATTTTCATAAACATAATATGGTTTGATACAATATTTTAAGTGTATATAATTTTATACAGATAATAGACGAATTTAAACAAAATATTGAATGCATAATTAACATACATTAGATGCAGGAGGGCTACAGAAATAAGCAAAGTAGCTTGACGTGCCCGCAGCCCTCAACTTAGATACAACAATAACAAATACAAATAGAAAAGAGTGACTTGCAGAGAAGAAAAGGAAAGGGGAGAGAAGGAGCTTTGGTAATAATACAACAATAATAGAATAAATCTCGTACATCAGCTGATTGAATGTTTAAAAGAAAATACCTTAATCATAGGGCACATAATTACAAGACACTAAAGGGAAATTATTGAAATCTTCGAGATTTTGCTCTTCTGATACAAAAGGAAACCAAATGCAACAATTTTCAATTAAATTATATTCTGCTACCAGAGCTTCTTTTTACAAGTAGAATGAGAATATACGTGAAATGCCGAGATACGTATACAAGCCGGGATTTAGACGCAACTAGCTTAGACGTTTGGACCAAATTTGTCATGTCAGGTGTGTGTGTGTTGTCCTTATCTGTGTGCAGTGCAAGTGATTTTTTTTACCAAGACTGATCTAGCATTTTATCATTTTGATAATTTGAAAACCTCCCAGTATACTCCAATTCTTACTTGCTACGTGATTAACTATTTTTTCAATCATTGCTTCCGACAATATCTTTCACAATGCATCGCTTGACCAGTACTCAACTTTATCTTTTATTTATTAAAAATGACTCCCCTGAGCCTGTTGTGACGTTATCATCTTCAAAATTATTATTAAATAATACGCTCCCTCTGACCAGTGGCGTAGAAACAGGGGCACGAGGGGGGGGGGGGGTGTGTGCCCAATCGGATGGTAGAAAAAAATAGAAAAAAAAAGCGAGAAAGGAGAGGAAAGGGAAGGGGGAAGGGGAAAAGACGAGAGTAGATAATGTCTGGACCACCCCTCCCATGCAAGCAACGGCCTTGTACATTTACATTTCATTTTCTAGGAGAGACATGTGCCCCAAATCATTTCAGTGTCCATTAATAGGTGGAATCATGCTATGCCACTTGACCGTTATGATGGTCACTTGGCCAAGACTCTTAACAAACTCTGGGGATAGTGTGCTTGTACTGAAGTTCACGCATGTTTTATGACGTACTTCCTTTCCACTTCTAGCGGTTGATGAGTCAGAGAAACGATGAAAACGATGAAAGATGTTTACATTATTAGAGTCACTGACCACAAAAATTAAGGATGTTTTTCTGAAACTATTATCGTATCTAAATTTGTCCACAACAGTTGAGTGTTAGAACAACACAAGTTTTGTGTTTACCGGATGTAAAGGGCCAGTTTGCAAATTATTCAGTTATACAAGTTTGCGTAGTGACGATCTATCACAATCACCCATTATAGGTTATTACATCTCAATAGCCTTTATGCTTATTGCATACTCATACATGATGTTGACATGTATAGATATCTGATGGTGGTTTCAGTTAACACCGAGAATTGTGCAGTGTTATAGCAATGCATCACAAAGAGCATATCTGGAGAGGCTAATACATTTACAACATAACTATAAACCCTTTTTTTCCTTTGGCCAGGCTTGACACAAATTTATGCATGCCTTGTGTTTACGCCAATATATGTGTGTATTTCTCTTTATATAATCTTCTCTACTGTTTTTTAATACAAGTATTGTAAAGATAGGTTTGTCTGTGAGTATTGACGAATTTAATGTAAATATGTGTAAGAAAAACGCCCAAATCCAGGACATCACTAAACTTTGTCTTTGGCCAAGGCTTCCTGTGCTGCCCGATAACAGATGTTCTTAAAAATCACACACCCATTCAGTTTTCCATACGCTATTTACGTCTTGGGGAGAACTTGCTTAATTATTTACCTAAATAGGTGGAATCTAACTATCATTTTTTGAAATGGGCCGATTTAAAAAACCCTCTCAATTCATCAAAGTGACACCATTGTCCATTTTTGTTCACTCTCCAAGGATAACGCGCATCATAAATATCGTCAGATGGCGGCATCGGTGACAGAGAGTTCGGCCACAGAAGCCATATCCCGTCTACAGCCAGAATATATGGTTCCTCTGACGCGAACTGGATATCTACTAACCGCCATCTATCTTACCATCGTTGGTGAGTATCATATCAGTGGAGTAGTGTAGTGGTGTAGTGGTGTAGTGGTGTCGTGGTGTAATGAATCATACTCTTGACTCACAATCCTTGGGCTGATGGTTCGAATCGATCCACCCAGGCATTACCGTCCCTTGACAAGACATTATTTCACATACGCCACTCTCCACCCAGGTGTAAATGGGTACTTGGCATTGCTTGGGTAATGGTTATTGCATGCAGGTCCTTCATGAAGAATAACATTAAAGGGAAAGTCCACCCCCAAAATAAGTTTGTTTAGATAGAGGCAGAATAATAAGAAAATCAGGTGAGTGAAAGTTTGAGCAAATTCTGAATGAAAATAAGAAAGTTATGAATTATTGAAGTTGTGATCAATCAAATACAAATTGGCAACTCTGTGACTTATTATACGAGCTCTCCTTCATTTGCTTTGTGCATAATATTCCATAAAATCATGTTTTCTTCGTTATGATGACGGAATATATATTTGTTCCTTGCAGGGGGAGTATAGAAACATATTTGCAATTATTATATTTAGGGTGCATGTATGGTTGAAATTTTTCTTGAGGGAAAATGAAAATTTTAGATTTTTTTAGTACTGAGCAAATGGAAGTTGAGCTCGCATGATACGTCATAGAGTTGCCAATTTGTGTCTGATTGATCACAACTTCAAAAATCCTAACTTCCTTATTTTTAATCGGAATTTGCTCAAACTTTCACTGACTTGTTTCTCTCATTTTTCTATTCCTATTAAAACTAACTTAATTTCAGGGTGGACATTCCCTTTAATGCTGATGGCGCTTTCCCGGGGCGACACAATCATTACTATTACCATTATAATAATAATAATTATTATTATCACTTCTATATAATGAATTGATGAATAAATAAATAAATTAATATGTGAAGGGCTGTAATGATTACACAATCTGAAATTTAAAAAAAAATTATTACATTGTTTTTGGTCTATTATTGGATTCGTACGTACTTTGTACATGCTCATCATATTCATATTAATACGAAACTAAATGAGATTAAATCAAATCGAACAAACAGACGCAAATCTCAAGTCAAAAATCGAATCTAGCGAGTCCGATGTAGGCCTATCTCACATGGAATACACTCTATTATGAACTAGGAATGCGTGTCCATTAAATAACATATGCACACATCTCGAAAATTAACCATAGTATTGGAAATGCGTTCCATTTCTTTCATAGGTTCGATCGCGACGGTCGGCAACATCACGGTTATCTGCGTGTTGTGCCGCTACAGGACCTTCCGAAAGCGGTCAATCAACCTCCTCCTGATCAACATGGCCGCCAGCGACTTGGGCGTGTCCGTAGCTGGGTACCCCCTCACGACCGTGTCGGGGTACTGGGGCCGATGGCTCTTCGGGGATGTAGGCTGCCAGTTTTATGCGTTCTGCGTCTACACACTCTCCTGTAGCACCATCTCCACCCATGCAGCCATTGCAGTTTACAGATACATCTATATTGTAAAGACAGACCTACGTAAGTAGACAATATGAGTGAGATAAGGATGTCATATGAATATAACAAATTCCTCAAACACTTTGAACAAAAAAATACCCGGTCTACCAATCTGAATATGTTACTATTCAAACGGTAATGAGCCTTATGTGTTCATTTGTAAAAAAATTGTGAAAAACTGAAAAACTTCATTCAAATTGCAATTATTTATTTTTGAACTGTACGTTACTGAAAATTTGGTAAGGCCTGTTTTTTACGACGGCACAAATGTCTTTAATCTTTTAGCGTAATTGCAAAGCGGTTTTCGCATGTCAGCTGTAACATCATGATTCTTTCATGTTTGTACTTCCATATCAATCAATCTTTGACTTGGTGAGTCTTTTATTCCTTTGCAGTATATTATCAACATAATGAGTTCAAAGACGGTTCGAGAGCGGCATAACGATGTATCCATACACGTTTTTAATTTCGTTTTCTTACACTATCATCCTTTCCCTTGCTATCCTTGGCAACAGGTCCAAAGCTAACGGCCAACTTTACGAGCGGGGTTATCGTTGTAATATGGGTGTATGCCTTCTTCTGGACGGTAACCCCATTCGTCGGCTGGAGTAGTTATATTTACGAGCCGTTTGGCACTTCTTGTTCTGTTAACTGGGTTGGCCGAACCATCAGTGACATTTCATACATGGTAGCCTGTACTATCGGCGTCTATCTTCTACAGATCTTCATCATGCTCTACTGTTACATCCGTGTGGCTAAAAAGTAAGCGTTCCTTAAAAATCATGTGCATGGAAGAGGGATTTGAATGATGTACTGTATAATCTTGAATCGAAACTTTCCATATACAGTATAACATGTCATCAGTGGTAGATCATTTGTCATCATGCTCTACTGTTACATCCGTGTGGCCCAAAAGTAAGCGTTCCTTAAAAATCATGTGCATGGAAGAGGGATTTGGATGATGTACTGTGTAATTTTCAATCTAAAGCTTTCCCTGTATTATCATGACATCAGTGGTAGAACAGTTGCCTCGTTACTAGGAGGTTCAAGGTCCGAAACCAAGTCAATGCGCTCGTTCATTTTAATGAGGCGTTGATCCTCATTACCGTATCCCTCGGAGAGGTCTCAATGTCGTCTGTCCTCTCTCATTGCTTGCAATTATTATACAGTGATTTCTTAGCCACCAGGACAAAGAAACTAAGAAACCAAATAATGTATGCTGGTCACACGATTTTTCATTGCACACAGAGCGCAAAAGTGTGGCCCTATATTCTTATTCATTTGATTTTCTTTTGATACCCCGCAAATAGCGGCTGCGTATTCAATTTTTGATCTTTTTTAAGCTACACGAGTTTGCACCATCACCCGCAACTTAAATTTCCTTTAAAATTGCCCTGTACTATATCAGTGCTGTAAATGAAGTACGTCTTTACTTATTTGTTTGTGTTATTTTGTAAAATATAGGATAGGCTCTTCAGGACATCAAAAAGGCCTTGCACCAGAGCCCGGTATTACACAGTACAATTCAAATGCAATGTAAAGCAATAAACAATATGATAAAAGTAAAATAGAACAATACATGTATTTTATTTTAAGGCTACAAACGGCTCTACTGGCCTCTCCATAATAGTTAAGTCCAACTTAGAGTTAAGTTCAACTTGGGATCTTTGTGAAACAGCCCCCCCCCCCCAGCAATATTGCACCCTTTCTAAATACATGTTTTATCCTTTCACTTGCATCCATTTCTTCAGGATCCGGGGAGTAGATCCAGGTCGTACAGAGGAAAAAGATGCAGGCGTAGTCGTCTTTGGGAGACTCCGCAAACGGGAGGCGAAAATTGACACGCACGTTACAAAGGTTAGTAGGCCATCATGTATGTCAAAAAGATGGTTGAATTCAGTAAATGGTGATTTTAAAAAATCTCAGCTTTCTCGTTCATTTTAGTCCTTTGTAGAAAGATGTCAGAAACAATTATAAATAAGGAATACTACTTGCCCTCGCATGTCAATTATGACTATTTATGGTTTAAAACTTTGCGCCAAATTTTGAGGCAGCGCGTCATTGGCACCGTTGACTCGTAAATTGTTATTTGTATTACTGAATTACTGAAAATATTCTTGATAGCAATTTAATAATTTGATATAAGACAAAAAGAGAAACATAAAGATAACATTGAACTCGTAACATGTTATGTGCACATACTTAAATTAATGAAAACGAAGCATTATTTTTCGACAGAATTTTACTACATTTAAACGTGTTTGTACATTAATATTGGAGTTTAAAAACCTGATACATTTTAAGTGTATTCGGTCGTTCAATCAAAAAAGTAATGAAAGTCATCTGGCAAATTGCAGAGCGTATATAACCTCGTTTTCCTGGGGGTATTTGATTATCTACCAGATACAATCGGCAGGTAATGATTGCCACAGCGAAAACGACTTAAAATTGTCGGATCTCTTTTAATGAGATCAAAGTATCTTTCTAAACATATAGAATGTTTGAAGATACGATAGTTAACACAATGCGAATTATTGTACATACAAGCAGAACACTACTGGGCATGAGAATCTTTCAATCGACGTTCCACAGTTTGTTTGACCCAATCACAACTAGTATTTTCATAAATTTCCCATAAATTAAATATCCCCATAATTGTCCAGAGTCAGCTTGATTTCTTTAAACCAAGGTGCCTGATAGATATTCTGCTCAAAGAGTAATCTTAAGAAAAATGTACACCCAACCAGAAATTTATCTTGGCTTCTATGTACAATCCTACACCAACAGTTTATCATTCTGCTTTCGATATATTTCTCTAGTTTCAGCCTCCCCAATTCACCAAGTACCATACAATTTGCAGTTGATTTGTTCACAGAAAGAGCTTGCTTACAAAACATGTGGACGATTTCAAGATCATGTAGCACTTCAAATCCCCATATCTGACTCACATAGAGCAGAATAGGCAACACAATTTGATCAAATAATTCAAAGAAGATATCAATAGGTAAGTGCAATTGGTACGTTTTAAATAATAGACTATACATTGCACGTCCAGCTTGATTGAATCGCTCAATTACTATTATAATTATTTATTATGCGCGTATAGTAAAGCCATATCTTAGGCAGGCCTTCTCGGTTATTGTGTTTAATCACATCTGTCATTCACTACAACCCATTAGCAGATGCTGTTAATAGGGAGAAAATTATATAACGTTCACTTCTGATTGCCCCTAACCGCCTTTATTTCTAAATGTCATTGCATCTCCATCTTACAGATACATCGTCCTGCAGTAGGAACTATCGACTATGATGAGAATTCTTTCGTTTTTGTTAATTTTCATTCTCATCCAAGTTCTCTCCTTCTCTCGCCAGATGTGTTTCATGATGATGCTCACTTTCATTGTTGTCTGGGCACCGTACGCCGTGGAGTGTCTTCGGGCAGCGCACGTGCATCGCATCAGTGCCTTATCTTCAGTGCTCCCGACCATGTTCGCCAAGAGCTCTTGCATGGTTAACCCCATCATCTTCTTGACCTCAAGTTCCAAGTTCCGGCAAGATCTGGGCAAGCTCTGGAGCCGCCCCTCGTCACAAGACTCCCTCCAACTCGAGGAACGCAACAAGACGCAGCGTTCACTTTATGTCCGACATAGCGAATTAGGCTCAGCCCACGGAAACGACACTGCTTCGGTGTACTACGAAAAAGAGCGTATTTACATCGGCGAAATGCGTGCCACCAGTATACAAAAAGAGGCTGAATTATTGCAACGCGACCCCGAATTGCTTTCGATTGCGTCTTCGACGAACTCGGACGTCAAGTTTGTCGTAAGGGATCGGCCAAAGCGGTACACGAAGAGACCCGTAAAGCCCCAAGGACCACGTGGCCCAGAAATGTTTACAGCCTCTGGGGTCACTAACAAAGGGAGCTCTACGAGCGACAGCGGGGGACAGTCGACGTCATCAGGTACGACAGGGTCGAAGCCAAAGAGGTCAGGTCGGAAAGCGTCAAGACAGTACTCGATGAAGTCCCAATCGGAGGACACGGGAGAAATCTTTACCCTGGATGGAAGCGCTTTGGAAATGATGAGCTTACGCAAGCTTTGATGATTAGCTCAATCTTAATGTTCGGTTATTCTCGTGTAATATCTCACTAAACGACGAGTCAATTATTTTTATGCAAACTATATTCAAGTTTTCGTTTCCACTTGAAGTGAAGAAAGGAGATGATCCTGAAAGTGTTCAGAGTATCGAGAACAAATTCAAAATCAGTCTGATGAGCCGCCTATACAATATGGCCTACGTTTTGCCAATGAAATATGGGAAAACAAGAATAAAGTAGCCTGATATTTGTAACATAATTAAATTATCATTTTGTAATATTGTCAAGTAACGACATAAAATTTGCTATAAAGTTTAATTTTGTTATAAACAAACATACTCTAAAACTAATTGTCACTGCAGCAGTCTGCAATGAGAATATTATAGTCATAAGTCACATAGTTTTCATTAACTATTGATTTTTCTGTTATTTTTTATTTTATGCACTTTTGCCTGATCTTGGTAACATAATTAAATTATCATTTGGTAATATTGTCAAGTAACGACATAAAATTTGCTTTAAAGTTTAATTTTGTTATAAACAAACATACTCTAAAACTTATTGTCACTGCAGCAGTCTGCAATGAGAATATTATAGTCATAAGTCACATAGTTTTCATAAATCATTGATTTTTCTGTTATTTTTCATTATATGCACTTTAGCTCATTTTAACTTGTTGCTGATCCTTTGTACATAAAGTCCCGTACGAGTTGCTGTTTGTTAAAGTTTATATGAGAAGATTTTAAGTTGTTATGCACAAAGTAGGAACACCATTTATGGTTCAAATTGAATGCATTGGTCAATATAATAATATTATTTTTTGCAGTAATATGATCAAAACCTCCAATTGGTGACTTTTCCCCTCCATTTTTACCTTGCTGCACTATTCTGTTAATATTCTGGAATCGGAAGAAGACAATATGTGCTCATGTAAAGTAATTAAGACGTGATGATAATTATAAAGTACATATATTTTGTTCTTCTTCTTGAAAGATAGACTGAGAACGAATGTATGACCTGCGTGTATCTGTATATTTCACTAGAATTAAGTTGATTTCATTACACGGTTTGTATTTTACAACCTGTGATATTTAGTCAGAATTTGTTTGTAGATTGTTTAATGTAATATTCATGCTCATTGGTAGTACAGTAGAGTTATAATTTTCACTTTGTCGGTAGCCAATATCATGATGATATATATTTATTTCTAGTTAACTCAGTATACTAGCTTTGTCATTTCAATATTTGATATATGTAATGTTAGTTCTTTTCTTTTGAATTTAGAATCGTAGCTGTGAGTCATATGTTTTTAGTTGTCGTTTTCACTCAGATCATTACAGGTACCGCTTAGCTCATAGTTCTTTGTAGAATTGTATAACTCAAAATGTATTTTCTCGTATGTTTGTATTACAGTTTTTATCTTTGGATTCGGAGCTGGGATGTTTGAATAAAGTCACTGTTCACATAAGCCAGCACAGATTCAACGAATATGTTTCTTTTGGAGTGTATTCTTGTAACAAGAGCCAACCATATAACATAATCGCAAAGAAATTTAACACATTAACTTCGGGAAATTTCAACAACCTATTCCACTGCTTTCTGGAATCCCAAAACCCAAAACAAGTCGCATATGGTATGGTTCTCGTTTAGAGCTCAATAAAGTTGTATTTGGTCAGGATGGTCAAATTATAGTTTTCAGCACTTCCTGAGAGAGAAGACTTTTGTCTATGTAATTTCAAAATTTTGAAGCAAACAACAATTTCATTTAATTTCAATTAATGAATAGTATGCAATTACATGCAAAAAAATCTCGTTATACTACCCGCTGTCGTTACAATAAAAATAGCATTTTCACTACACGACATGCATATCCTTTTAACAGAAAACGAATTTGATATTACACATTGTATACCTCACTTAAGAAATCCAGCCATCTGATTGGTCGAAATTGCAGTCGTGATTTTAGCCATTAAAGAAACGAAAAATGCCAAAACCATTTAATAGTCCAACTTGTCCAAGAGTAAAATCCCGGCAAAATTCTAGTTACCGGGACAATAATATAATATTGCTGCGATACCCATTGGTTTACGTGTTAAAATGTTCTTTGAGCGAGCGCGGATATCATACAGAGCTTTTTGTCTGCGATTCCCAACTGATCGAAACTCTCAGTCATTTTTGGGCGGTGATAAACAGACAGTTTATCAGATTTTCCGTGATGCTTTAACCAATCTTTATTCGATAAAAGGATAAGGTAAGAATTCTTGGTGCGCCACCCAACCAGGCGCGCCCCGGGGTGATAGCAGCGGAGGCAAATTTCCCGAGAGCCAGTATAGAAACAGCCAGTACTCTCGTAGCAGTCGATATCTCTTTACTGTATTATACACTACATTACATTACAGAGGACATAGACAACGTTGTTGCAGAAGAAGCACAGTTTTCCATCTGGATTTAAAAATATACTTTTACAGCAATGTGGGTTGACCATGGATATGTAAATATATATATTACCCTTCGAAAAATTAAAAAACTTAATTGACCTCTTTTATAATAGCATACGATTTAATCATATATAAGCTTACCTAATCATTACAGAAATGCAATAAACTGCTGCTTAGAAAGATAGAAACATAAATGCTATTTTCATCCTTTTTAAATTTGAAATAGGAAAAATACTCCACTTTTGATTTAACACTTCATAAGTATAATATTAATAATCATAATGGAGTCTTGCAAAGCGCTCATGTCTGACAAATTGCTACTCTTCGCGCTCAATTATTATTCATGAATATAATGCACTTGAGAGACAAATGTAATTTTCCCGAGAAACCTTCGTAAGAAAACTCGATCAGATTTGTCAGGACAGCTCTAAAATAGGCAGGAACGGCAATCTCTCGTGATATAATTGTATCTCTTCCTTTAAATATTGTTTCAAAGTACTATGTCAACAATTATTAAAACGACACTTTTGGGAATAATTTTCAAAATTGATAATTGACTGGTGGCCACTAAAACCAACAAATACCAACATCAAATGATGTGTCAAGCGACCTTTTTTCAGCGTACTTCACAATTTTTCGGCAGTTATGTCATTTTCCCCAGAGGTTGGCTGTATTGAGAATAATATTTCCATTCCACATTCATTATCGTCATATAACATCAAACAAATTCACACATCTGAATTGCCTCCGGGTATATTAAAATAAAGTTACAAACCGAGAAATAAAGCCCCCCAAAAGCTTACACCCTCAATCAACATAATTTTTTGTTAACGTCTCAATATCAAGAAATATCCAGGGAGGTTGACGCCGCTCATATGATTGCTGACAAAGATAAATATCAGGGTTGCAAAAAGATAGATCGATAATTATAAAACAAAAATGCAATCTATACGGATAGAAGAACACATATGTGTAAGAGAGACCGAGTAGAGAAAGTAAAGATCAAGCGATATAACGCAATCTATTTGACAAGCAAGACGGATCACGAAGAAAAGAAGTATTTCTTTATTTCATTTTGCTTTCTGTAACTGTATGCAATACATTATTAAATTGTATGCAATATCTAAGAAGATAGTAATTCATATACGTCTAATAACAACTTGGGATATATGTATTATGATAATGACAGTTAGGACACATTCTATAAAATCATGGACCTATGGTGAAATAAAAAAAAACGTAGAGAGAAAGAGAAAGAGAGAGAGGGAGAAAGAGAGAGAGAGAGAGAGAAAAAGAGAAAGAGAGAGAGAGAGAGAGAGAGAGAGAGAGAGGAAAAAAAGAGACTAAATGAAGAGCATATATGCAAATTATTTGTTATTGTCTTTCTACAGTTAAAAAACGTAAGGACATAATTCAGGTTTATGTCTAGGGTGTGGTTTATTACCCGAGTTTATTTCTTAGCTTATCAGAGCTTTAAAAACACTTACTGAAAGTAAAGATTATTGGGGCTGGGTGGAATATTATATGTGTATATACTAGTATGCCTGCCTGTGTGATGTTTTACTAAACACAACAATATAACAAGTTAATATATAAATACAGTAACTGTATTTACCTTGTTGTATTGTTGTTGCTGTAGGCACACCGCACAATATTAGAGAAATCCCACTTTGTGCACTTCAGAATAATCCCTGATAAAGTACTGAAGGTGTTTCATGAATACGTTTTATTTGCCCTCTTGAAATTATACTACCAGTGGAGGGGGAGGGGGGGGGGGTGCTTAACAGGCTTTTTGTATCATGGGGTGGATGTATAGTGGCTGGTGAGTGAAAATGAATGTATTATGTGTGTGCGCGTGAATTTGTGGGTGCGAGGGAGAAACAGAACAGAGAGAGGAAGAGACAGGAAGAGAGAGCAAGCGTTTGGGGGGGGGGGCACATTTCATCCCACCAGCTCCTTGATCATTTTACCTGATTAGAAACAATGCCACTATGATCATCACGGGGATTCCGCCCTTATCTCTCCCTTGATCCGTAAATCTAATATTTGCGAAGAACGGTCCCGAAAAGCGGCCAAAGCTGCAGGGTAATTGATCCATAAGGAAGTCAAAACAGAATTGTCTGTAATTGGTATCATTTATCACCATGGAAACGCTTCGATATCTTCAAATAGTCGTCTGTCTTTTCTCGTTAAGCCTCGCAACTAGCCAGAGTAAGTCCAAACGTTACGCATGTCTTTATTTCTGTTCATTTTGAAAGCAATTTGGTACTCACAATAAAGAACACTAAACTGTGGATTGCCATTTTATGATTACATTAAGGGTATAGAGATGATTGGAAGTGGGATGGAACTGTATATTTGCTATAAGCAAAAGGCATTATTATCATTATACCACTACTACAGACGTGTAGGCTCGGAGACTCAAGTTTCTGCAATGAATCATGCTGATGGGGTGGGAAAAGCGGCTCTCAAATCCTGAATAAATTATCAAGGAAAAAAATAGTTTCGTAAACGACTATATTTTCCAGCATCAAACTACGGTATGACCCAGTTTTCGAGAAGTCATTCGTAAAAAAGGTTGAACTCCTATTTCAGTGTCTATACGGCATAGAATATAGTGATGCATGCTATCCATGCAGTGTAGCAAACGGTACCATGGTACTCTTAAAGAGGTGAAGACTTGGTTAGGTAAGTATCTGCAAACAATCGTGCGCATGGGACGGGAAAAGTGGCTCTCAAATCATGCATACATTTTCAAGAAAAAAACAGTCGAGGTGTAGCACGACTATTGATTTTTAGTACACTAATTTTTGGAGCGCCGAGCTTCAACCTCCTCCTTACGTAAAATTACCATAATTATGAAACTAAATGAACAACAACAACAACAACAACAACATAACAACAACATGTCATGTATAAAGTCAATCTCGCGTATTGAATCTACATGTATGACAGAATTCATTTCGTTAATAATATTGGTAGAGAATTTCTTTAAAAACTCATCCACTTGCACGATATGTTTGCCTCGAACAGCAAATGAAAACTCAGAGTTTGACTAACCTCAAATATTCAGTAAAATAGAATGCAAGAAGGAACACATGATGATAGCTACCATAGATTATGATAGAAGACTTCCATGAAAAAATAGCATCCCCCCAAAAAAAATTCAATATGAAATGACTCAATGACAAGGCTTACATTAAAGGGATTGGGTATCATTGCCTCAGATTCTAAACAGAATCCCGGATTTAGCTCATGCTGCAATCATAATTATAAACCTTTAGATCAGTCAGAAATCCCATCACTTTTACAAGCCGATCGCCTGTCTGATTATCAAGATATGTATGATTGGACATCGAAATTTCAAAAACCGTTTTCCTAATGGTTCTTATAACACTACAGTCACTCAAAGATTTTTACTTTTTTGCGGTACTTCATGATCATTTTGAAGCGCCATATTTTTAGGGCTTCAATATTACACCACATCACAGACACTGAGAACAGTGTTACAATTATTAAGAAGAAGCCAATGAAGATCAGTAATGAGAGACAAAGCGTGGCTTTGGTTTACAAGGAATGAGCCCTGCTGCTTTATTTCGGAGGAGTTGAAGGGAGTAAAGACCTCGCTCTTTATTTCATCTCCATGTATAATATGGAAATCAAAATTTACCTTTACAGTGGATGTGTCGTGGTATAGTGGTTAATTCACTTTATTTTCATTCCAGGGGTTGAGGGTTCGAATCCCAGCCCGGCACTATTGAATGTCTTACGGCAAGACATGAATCTACATTTACCACTCTCCATCCAAGTGTAAATGGATACCTAGCAATGCTGGGTTGATAACAAAATTGCAGGTCCTGGAAGAGGAGTAGTATTGATACCGCTGTGTCGACTATGGGTGAAAGAGAAGAAAAACTTACGACCGCACTACATACTGGTTCGTTCGATCGACTCTCAATCTAAGGGTTCAGGATTCGAATCCCAGCGCATGTGTTGTTGTGCATAAAACCAATATGCAGTTAAAGTGTACTATTTAGTAACCTTTATAAATAACCAGGTGGCCAGCTCAAGCGCATGCCGAATTAAGTGACAGTCTAGATTAGTGGGAGGGAAATCTTATTAAATTTTACATTAAGAATCATCTTAAAATTAGACGGAATGCAACGCTTTTTTTTTTATCCAAAGATCTTTCGATGCATAAAATTATATTGAACCTTGTGAAATCATTTCAACAAGTTTCATTTCATTTTATTCGTACGCTACCACAAAATAAGCAAATATAATAATAATGACAAGAGGAATAACTTTAATAATGAGAGTATGATGAATGTCTTACAGATTGGTTATTCATTCAATCGTTTTATGTAGTTATTTTATTTCAACCAAGATAAGGGTAACGTTGTCACATTCCCCTGTCAGAACTAAGCTTGCTGTTAAAAGAGAACTTATCTGCACGACGTACATTTTAATCACATATTACATTTTTTGTTCTTTTTTCCGCGTCAAAATAACATGATATGAATCAGGATTATGGTAATATTATGCACCACATCTCAGAAGCTCAAGTTTAAGTAGGAAAACAAAGCCATTCCTGAGCGAGTCATGTCTGAAATATTGTATTTATTTATCGAAACTGCCGCGTGCGATTTTCTTTTCTTCGTATGATTGCACATCGAATGATTTTTCTACATTGTGTGTGATTAGGTATTCACAGAGGTTGCTAGATTGCAGGGGTTCCAGCACTCATAATCTGATAATGTACTACTTTTTCAGTTACTGATTATTTAATTTCATCCGGAGAATATTCAATGATTTAAAAAATTAAAAAAAATCATTTATAATGAAAAAAAGGAGTAATATCAATGTATGCTTCATATGTCGATGATTCTGTACATGTTAGCGTACTAGTTATTGTGTCATCGCTTTTTATATTTATTTAGATATCAACTATTTATTACAAAACAATTACCCCGAGAACAATCATATCAACATAAATGGTAAATTATTAATGAGAACACAATTCAGACCTGAATGATTAAAATGGACCTTTATTGATTGAGCAATCAATTTATCTGATTAGAAAAATTGAAAGCAAGAAGATTTAATGTGAATGCCCAAATCATTTTGTAAGTTATATACTTCACACTGATTTTTCATTATGATGAGTGCAGTATTTTAATTGTTGTTGGGTCCAGATATAGATGAGTCCAAAAGTCAAAATACTTGTCACTGTGACCCCTTTATCACGGTTACCCTAGATTTTACTGTGACGTCAGATACAGGTTATTCAGAATAATGACCTCCCTGAATTCTCCCTACCCATCTTCTTCTATTTCCTTTCTTCTCCTTCCCCACCTCTTCTCCGTCCTCTTGATATGTCTAAGCATTATTTCTACTCCTCTTCCATTACATCTTTTTCCATTTTATCCTCCTTTTAGTGTTCTCTTATCTTCATTTTCTGTTTTCTCACTCCTTTTACCGTTAGACACAACTGGGTAGCCTTTAAATGAATGATTATTTTCATCATCACAAAGCTACAGACTGAATCAGTCAGAACACAAGTACTTCAATTTAAATTTTCTATTTCATTTCTGTTTTTCAACATTACATCAAAATCTATATCTAATCATTTATACACATAAAGGAATAAATACGGAATCGGAGGGGTCCACTAAATAGTAATGCTTGGACAATTGTGGGCCCCTCAAATAATATTTAGGAATAATGAGTAATTAAATTAACAAATTCGTAACTACAAAAAGGAATTATAATTAAAGAAAAAGGAAAAAAGGGGGATGCCAACAGAGACGAGAACAGGACAAGAGAGTACTTTAGATGACAAAGATAGAAGAACACAGACACAATACAAAAAGTAGACGATGACAAAAAAGAAGTGGGAGATTAGGGGTACAGAAAATAATTCAAAAGGATGAGCTGCACGTGGGGTTGAGAAGAAGATGAGGAAGGAGATATCCGCATTAGAAATGAGATATGTATGCATGAGAGGGCAAAATATTGAATATTAAATTACACTTTGATTCAGCGAGTAGAAAATGACCTTGTTTTTTAAAAAAAGAAGAAAAAAGGTTAAAAAGAAAGAAATAAACACATGAGGACGGGAAAGAATAAATGGGCGATGTAATTCAATGAGATTCATGAGATGAACTTATTTGTATTGGAATGCATAGAGAATGAAAGTTAACTTTAAATTCTTTAATGGAATTAGATGTCAAGAAAAAAACTGAAGTGAGTCTGAATTGTTTATTGGTAGAGGTGTCATGGTACAGAGGTTCATTTACTTGACTCTCAATTCAATGGTTGATGGTTCAAATCGCAGCTCGTCACTAACGTCCTCTGTTAAGACATTAATCCACATTTGCACTCTCCATCCAGTTGTCAATGCATACCTGGCGAGTAATAATAATTGCAGGACCCTCAGGAAGAACAGCATTGAAGCTATTAAGGCTTTCCTGGTTATTAAAAAATATATATTATTATTTATATTCCACATGCTAAGAATCTTTCTCTACGATTGGTCAAAAGTAAATCACGTGATGAAAGATAGTTCGCCCGTCATTGATGGGAGAAGAAAAGTTCGTTGCACTGTGTAAATAGTAGTCAGTACAACGCACTTTCACTGAAGATAGAAGTACTATCTACACAGTGAAACGCACTTTAATTGTATACGCTGCGTATTGCTTCGACCAACAACAGTACTTGCAGGACAACTTCGGAGGATAGTGGAAAACTCTGGAGGAGACAGGTGTTCTAAGCGCGTACCATATCACTGAACACGTCTGACCTCGGAACCAGGGGCGGCTAAGACTCTACGATTTTAGTTTTAATTTCTTTTGCATAATCATTAACAAGTCCTCGGAATTATGACACTAAATAAAAAAAAGTGTTACCGTAATCTGCGATAGGAGTTATCGTACACGCCAAGTTGGTTCACATCCCTTCGGCATTAATTTAAGTGAAATTTGTCAATTAAATATAAGTAAAAGCAAGACAAGTCATTGCTGCGTGGTATCTATGCAGCTCAGCAGCGAGCAACACGGCCCGAAAATCATGCTTATGAAGGACATCCATTGTCCTCCAAAAGCGGCTGTCTCTCTGACTGATATTTAACATACCATACGCATTACAAGCATTCTGCATCTTTCTCGCAACATTCATTTTAAAACTGATGCAGATGCTGAATTTTGGAACCAGGAGGCGCAAGATTCTCTCAAGGAAGCGATCCGCCTGACGGAACGGAACGTCAACACCGCCAAGAACATTGTCCTGTTCCTCGGCGATGGCATGAGCATCGAGACCTTGACAGCTGCCCGCATCCTGAAGGGACAACTCGCAGGAGGTTTGGGGGAGGATGCCAAACTAGCAGTGGAGGACTTTCCACATTTTGGCTTGGCAAAGGTAAGTGATCAAGTCACCTGTGTCCAATGTGCTATTTTCGGCTAATAAGGCACAGACTACTCATCTTCTTTTCTTTGTTGGTGTTTCGACATATTTTGTAATACGTGAGCATACCAAACAACACTCTAAATCCTACCTCTAATCACATGTGATGTGACGGTACTGTGATACCTTGTATGGCCATCATGTGTCATATTATATTACGTAATATCATCATAGTGAGTATACCTTATAGATATAAAATGTGGATCACTATTCTATATCCTCCCTTTAAAGATACTATGTCCCTTTTGCAGCCAACATCGAATTCTGTAGAACTTTGCAGGAATTATGAATACAGTATGTCATAATGTATGTCCTATCTGTGAAATTTGAACATAAGCAGTGTCCTAGTATTCAAATTATGCAAGGAAACCCATTTACCTTCTAGACTTCACTGTCAGACACTATTGAGTGACTGACTGACATCTTTTTTCTTTGGTAATAACATACATAAAATGAGCTGTAACAGTTACACGAGGACTTGTCTACATCAATAACCCACTACTTGTGATGGCCAAAATTAAACTGATTGACTCTTTGTGCAGCACAAAACGTACGACCATTCGGTGAAAGGGTCTGAAAATCAGAATCACTTTAGTCGATTCTACAACTAATGGTCGTTTTTTCCCACTAAAAGCCATTTTCAAGCCCGTTCGTTTGAGGGAAGTTCTAAATTAGTATTGTCTTTTAAATGCAGTTGGAATTTGATCTTTTCATTTTGTTTGGCCTACAAATGGGACATAGTACCTGTAAGCCTTAGTTACAAAAGAGGTACGATCTGTGGCCGACTACTAACAACCCCTGATCGGGAGTAATTTGTCAGACGTCACTGAGAGGTTTATGGCAGTTTTTAAAATGTTGTAAGAGGTCGTCAATAGGTTCCGGAAGCATTTTTGGTCGAATGGAGGTTCAGGCTGTTGCATCGGAAAACATTTTACCCACCAAACTGGTTGTGGAAAGGCTTTATGTTTGTCTTCCAAGAGTAGGCGACAGTTCTTAGACTGGTTTCTGACTGATAGGCGACTCTGATTCCAACTTCTTTTTCTTACCGACTTTTACTTGGCGTTACTTGGTTGAAAAAAGTCTGTAACTGATCGACAAATGATACACAATCAGTCACCGATTATATTTCAAACTTTCACCGAACACCGACAATCAGAAAGGAGTTTAACGTCATAAACATAGAAAATTATATTGTTGCTTCTACTGTTAGTTCAAAAATTTAGTTTGTTTGAAATGTTTGATACGTTTCCTTGAAAGGAGTGAGCGGAAAAGAAGAACTAAGAACACTTAATCCCTTTGATTTTCCTTTACCTATTTATATACTGTTATTCTCTGATGTTGTATTTGAAAAATAAATCTGTTTTTCCTGCTTCAGCAGCCCGGAAATAATACCAAATGTGAGTTCAAAAGTTGAATAAAATATGATCTCTTCGTATTCTCTGTTGTATGGAAAAAAAGTGCCTCCAGTTCATTATACCCACAACATCTAGTTTTTTAAAAATATTTTCAACGAAGCATGGCAAGGTAACTTGTTTAACAGAAATGTTGCACATTATCGGTACTGTGATCACCAATATCATAAGCATAACTATTACCAAGTATAGCCCGGATGCAGGGTATAGTCACAAGGCTTCAAAGCTGTCGATCGAAAAGTATTTAACAAAAGACGACTTCTGTTCTCATTTGCCAACAAGACTTCACTCCAATTATCTATCATACTTGCACGCAGCTTCGCCATCATCTTTCTAGCTTCAACTCTTAACAGTTTCCCTTTACCCCCTCCCATCTATTTGTTATGGCAATGATTGTTGTGTTTTCTGATTAACTCATAATGATGGGCTTCAATGCAATATTATTGATTTCAAAGAAACATCACAGAGCGAAAATATAAATTGATTAAACTATACCACATCTAATTAAATAAATTTGCTAATAATGATAAAGAATTTTAATTTCCTTATGAGTGTTCGCGTCATTGGTTATACCGCTCCCCCATTACAAAGCTCTACCAACGGTCGTAATAACATCGGCCATAGATTACCGACGAACTATTTGCAACCTTTTTTGCCAATATTTTCACGAGCGAGCGGAAATTACTTTACGAAAATCTCTAAGGACTTTAGGCAACCTATCGGTAACTGATTGCCCACTTTCAGTTCTTACAAATTGGTTCTCGATAATCGCAGCTTTATTGTGATGTCAGAAGTCGGCAACTCGTGTTACGCCTCGTGTGACTTAGGATATTGTTTTTTTCCTTTGGCGAGAGTAGAACTTGGACGGGGAGCCGCGTCCGTTGTATCTATTGGAAAACCGGCCTTTTGATTAAAAAGTTGTTTTTTGTATGGTCGAAAACAACTTTTTATGTAATAGAGACAAATTTCTGATACGTCTGATATCTCATGCTCGGTTCCCTATCCAATGATTATGGAAATATGAAAAAAAAGTAAGCAATAATTGGAGATTATGTTTTCTAATGGTACATCAGGATCATATAAGTCAAATGGATACAGTTTACGCGTGAATGGGTGGGTGGGTGTGTGCGAAGTTGTTGGATGAGGATGAATATGAGGATTTTGCCTGCAGGTCCATGCTTTAACGCTCTTATGTGATACTGATACACATGTACATATTTATTTACACATCAACAATCGAAAGACAATTGAAATAACTGTATTTCCAATATTTCACGCTCCTTTTCTCCACCTTCAGAGCATCTATCTGTTCATCTCTTATTTCTTTCTTTCGTTTCCCCCGTCGATGATGAGGTACCAAAAAAGGCACTGGATAGATTTTAAGAACTAATTTTTTAAACAAAATCTCGGCATAAAGCATATTTTGCAAGGACAAATTTACTTCATATCGTTGCTACAAAGACTGTCCACGTTAATAAAAATTAGCAACGTGACCATGCCAAGGAATGATGAGAGATATTCTCTTTATCTTTAATAAAGAGATGGGGTATCTTTGTCTCAGATTCTTAATATAATCCTGGATTTAGCTCATGATACAATCATAATTATAAACATTTAGGTCAGCCATGAATCCCATGACTTTTACAAGCCGATCGCCTGTCTAATTATCAAGATATTTGTGATTGGAATTCGAAATTTCAAAAGCCGTTTTTCCAACAGTTTTCATAACACTACAGTCTATTGGAGGGAAATGAGTGTGGTAAAAAACTGTTTATTCAAAGATTTTACTTCTTTGAGGCATTTCATGATCATTTTGAATCACCATTTTTGTAGGGCTTCAATGTTACACCATACCAAGTACAGACACTGATAAACACATAGGTCATGCATATCAGTTTTGTAAAACTGGAAACATTGTTAAACGATGCCTTTGATAGCTATTTCTCCTATAAATATATCATACATGTTATGAGTTTTCAGCGAACATATACGGCTTCATCCTGCAACGCCATTAGAGTTGTACATATTATATAGACATATTTGCGCGATTTAATGTCGAAATCAAATAATGTTAGTGACTTTTTCAAGAACATAATGATCGTTTTTAACTAAAGGCTCAAATAATGGGAGAAAAGCCCAAAATACCAGCAAAAACAGAATTAAAATGTCTGTAAAATGAGCACGATTAAGATACTGAATTTAAAGTTCCATCTTCTTATTCAATATATCTGAATTCATATCCACAGATATGTACACATTTAAAGAATTATATGATTTTTTAAAAACATTTTTATCAAGTGCCATGGGAAAAAATGCCTCGTTATCAATTGATTTTTGTCTTCCTTATTAACTCCTAAGTTTATACGAATGGGATTCTAAAACTTTAACACCTCATCTGTCTAATGATACAAAAGAAGTCTTTAATAATCTACTTATCACCTTATTTCCCTGTTGCTTTTGATACAAGATAATTATAATGATTATCATCGTCTTCTCTCATTATGATTATAATAATTATTATTATTATCGTAACAATCACCCTCTTTTCCGGCCTCCTCTCCTTCTATTCTTTCTTCTTCTTTTTTTTTTTCTTCTTCTTCTTTTTCTTCTTCTTCTTTTTCTTTTTCTTCTTCTTCTCTTCCTTTTGGCGTTACTGACTTATTTGCAGATTTAGCTCACCATTGTTGAATCATAATACACTTAAATCATAGCAACATTAATACATTACAGGAAAGTGATCCCCGAATAAGCATTTGATTCTAAGAGAAATATTTTATCGGAAAATTGAAAAATCTTTCGCATCCATCTTCATTTAAAATGAAGTTTGGTATGTCTTTCATTTAATTCTATGATAGCATCGGAAAGTTCATAATTAAATAAACTAAATTTACAATTAGACTGCCTCATGTTTCCGTTGAATGACAACGAACTGCCCCGGGTACTATCATATTTGTTTAAGAAAAGAAAACAAGTTCAGGACTATCCTTACTGACAGGCATTTTCCTATCATCTTCCTAGAGCGAGAACACGCTTTGCTCAAAATACCTTAAAGGCACACTGTCCTACTTGTAGCTACTTGCTCCCTCTATATAGAAAACTTCCCAAATCGGTGCCTGTTGGTCCCCCATGATCCTCTTTTTCTTATGTTAAATGAGAGCTGAGTTAATGAGATAGCCACCTGTCACAATGACCTCGCTGGCTCGCTGTGTGGTCTAATCCCTTCTGGCTGAAGTAGTAAAGCCTACCTTTAATATATACAAGTCCCAAGTTTGGGAATTATCTTTATTCTGTGATTAACAGGTTTGTAAGAGTATTCATGTATTCAGAAGAAAATTGAAATGTCATTATTTGAATACACATTTTAATCTTTAATTCCTGACTATTTTTGTCTCCAAGCAGTATACCTTTGTTGAATACATTGAGTAAATAACTGTATGGCCATGCCAACTATGTACATATTCTACTCATATTGAGAACAAACTACATGGTACTATAATTGTTTCAATAAGCTGCAGATACATTCCCTTCCTTTTCCCTTGTCTATTGTAGTTAATCGTGAGTATCAGTTCATGTATCCCTGTAATCTCCCTTTCCCTGTTTAAGCGTGTATTTGTTTTTCATAATCGTAACTTAAGTTGATTATGTCATTTGTAGTTCAAGGAGCCTATATCCTCAACAAGTTCTGCTTTTCCATAGGCTCCGCCACTATCTCTTAAGTTCAACTGAAGGACAATTTTCTGAATAGTGTGAACGGGTATTTTATGTACATGTATATTATTATCATTTTTCAATATGTTGTTACACTCTTTTTAAAATGAAATAAAAGTGGAAGCCAATAAAGTATCTATCTGTCCCTCCATCTAAATAAATTAAATAATCCATGAAATGTACTTGTGTTCTACATTGCTCTGTTTCAGTTATCGTAACAACTGACTTTCGGAACAAAAATATCAGGGATTTAAGACCATAGGTTTATATTTCTTGATATTACCCTTCTTGTTGACGTTGTTGTTGGTGTTGTTGTTGTTCTTCATTTCTTCCTCTCCAATATTAATTATTATTATTATTATTATCTGTATTATCATTATCAATATTATTATCAGAATAGTAGTAGTAGTAGTAGTAGTAGTAGAAGTAGTAGTGTAGTAGTATAGTAGTAGTAATAGTGTAGTAGTAGTAGTAGTAGTAGTAGTAATAGTACCGGTAGTAGTAGTACTATCATTATCATCATTATCAGGCACGTAGCCAGAGTTTTATGTTTGGGGGGGGGGGGCACATACATGTAATCGATCGAGGTAAAAAAAAAAGGGGGTCTAAAAAAGTTCACCCGACCTTGGATTTTTTTTTTTGGGGGGGGGGGGGCACGAGCCCCCCCCCCCCCCCCCCCCGTGGCTACGTGCCTAATCATTATAAAAGAGATGATTGGTCCTTTAAAAATCGAAAAATAGCAACGAATACAAACATACTTTCGTCTTGCACTCATCAGAATAAATCGCAAGAATGAAAACAGAGCCGTAAGCGGACAAATTTTTCGGAAGCTATGACAGGGAACAAAGCGCGCTTTGTAAATTTGTATCATTATCGATTAATATAATTATCATTATTACCATCATCAGTATCAGCATTACTACTAATTTTACTAATGATAATAACAGTAGCATTATTAGTTATAATATTACAAACAACGATATTTAGTAATATTAATAATAATAATGATAATGATAATGATTCTAATGACAATTCTTATTCTAATGATAATTCCAAAGATAATTCTAATGATAATTCTAATACTACTTATAAAAGTGTGAGTGATAATAATAATGAGAAGAAGAAGAAGAAGGAGAAGGAGAAGGAGGAGAAGAAGATGAATAATAGTAATAACATAATGATAACAATGTCATTACTGCTATTTGCTTTACGCCTCAGTCACACCGCTAGACCGACTCCAAACCGACTGCAGACCGACCGATTCTAGCCATAGGAGGTAATGTAATTGTCTGATCTGTCTGTTGTCGGTCTGGTGCCGGTCTCATCGATATAGCCGGGACGTAATGTTAAAGGGGGTGTAGCATGACGAGACTACGTGTCTTTCCCGTATCCTGACTCGTGTCAAATCGGGTATAGTACGAATACGGACGACGCAACCACAGTATTCACGTGCGTGCAACATACGCGAAACCGAAGCGTGAGGAGAACTTCGGTCTGTTTCGCGAACGCTAGCGCGCTGAACGTTAATCAAGTCCATTCGTTTACGTGCAATTGTCCAAAAGAAGTCGTAGATGGCGTTAACCATTATTTGCCATGCTACACCCCTTTAATCAACATTTTTGTTTCTTTGGCAGACATACTCGACCAACAAGCAGGTACCGGACTCGGCTGCCACGGCCACAGCCTACCTGTGCGGAGTCAAGACCAAGACGGGTGTTCTCGGGGTCGACGATAGGGTAGAGAGGGGTGATTGTGTCTCTTCCCTCGGAGGGGAAGTTAAATCCATCCTGGAAATGGCCCAAGAAGCAGGTCAAAATTACTTCTTCTTCATTTTATGTCGTATTTTCCCATTTAAAGACAATATTTTGTGGAAGAAAATGCTTCTTTAGGTTATTTCATGGGTTTTTTTAACAGACAGTTTTAGGTTTTAGACCATTAGGCCGTGTTAAAATGTGCAGCGGTTATCCGCGACAATTTTTTTTGTTTTGTTTGTTTGTATGACGTAAAGTGGAATACGCTTCAGATCGTATATCGCATAAATAATTGAATAGGGGTAAGACCTTTGTTGCGTCTTCTCTTCCTTCTTTGTTTTTCGCGAACACATTTCTGTAGATCTATTTTTGTTTTTTATTCTTGTATTTTTTTTTACAGGAACAACATGAATCAAAACAAAATAAGAATCGTATAAAAGTCAGTTAAGATGACGTCATTGCCTGTTCAATTATTTAATGATCTGAGGTTTCTTTCTACGAAACTGTCCAGACAAAGCTTTTTATTCAGTGAAATGGAGGGCACAAACATAACCTAAATAATTTTTTTAAATGATTCCATGAGTGTAACATAATGCCGGATCAAGTCAATCAATCATTTCTGCCATCGTCATAAAATTTTGTATTGTATTCAAAACCATGCAAATGATAAATGTTTGACGAATGCAGAGTAAAGAAGAAATAAAAAGAATACCATTAATACTCCAGTGAAGCCTTATTTCCGGTCATCCAATTGTGTTGTATCCATGGAAACAAGTCATGAAGGTCTGGATTGCGCTGTTATCAAAAGATTGTGCATGATAATCAAAATTAACTATTCATCCACGGATGCGTTGGTCAGCTAGTGAAATCTATTTCAACAAACAAGATCTCGTATACGTACTGACAAGCTAAACTATTAGAGAACCCTGCCTGTTTTGAGTAGAGAGAGAGTGTGTGTGTGTGTGTGTGTGGGGGGGGGGGGGGGGCATACCCCCTAGTTAGCATCAGATTTACATGGTCATATGTGCCCCCTCATTTTGCTAACTCTCATTGCACCCATGTATCAGATGTACAGTATCATGTCCCTGGATCTGCTACTGAAACATTTTTAAATCATATGAAAGCAAAATCGTATATCTACTCAGGAAACATCAAATTTGGCGCTCTGTCATTTCATGTATGTGTTTATGCGAGTTATGATCCTCTTCACCATTGAATAATAATTATGACAAATATTCATGCTCCTATATATCTTATTTTTTTCGTTTTATCATCGAAAGGCGGGAATTTAAATGAGGCAACAACCGTAATAGGTTAACAAGAGAGAACTTGTCATCGTTTTACTAAAACGTAGGAGTCCAAAGTTAATGTTTCCCCCTTTATTTCGATGCAGGGAAATCCGTTGGTTTTGTTACGACCACCACACTCACTCATGCATCACCTGGTGCCCTCTACGCCAAAGTCCCGGACAGGAAATGGCAGTCTGACATGGACATTCCTCGCGGGGAACGCAACCTGGGTTGCGTCGACATGGCGCAACAGTTTGTCAGCAACAACAACATTCAGGTCAGCATTGTGTATCTAGATATTTCTCCCCGTCATCTGTAACAATGCACTGGTAGTATGCCACAGAACAGTTCGGCGATCGAACCCATGACCTTTGAATTTCCAGTCAAGCAGAGGCGACCGTCCCGGGGGGGGGGGGGGAGGGGGGCACAGTGCCCCCCACTCTTTCAACCACCCGAAGAGCGCCCCTTTCTACATAGGAAAAGTGCCCCTTTAACTTTTCAACTCTGATAAGTGCCCCTTTTATTTGGACACGTGCCCCTTTTCCTTCGACAAGTTCCCATTTTCCTTTGCAATAAGTGTCCATTTTGAATCTCTAGTAAGTGCCCCTAGATTGGTACGAGATATTCCCTTTTCACTTTTAATAAGCGCCCCCTTCACCTCTGATAATTGTCCCATTTGAATCTTAGAGGTGCCTCTTTCACTTTGACATGTGCCCTTTTTCCTTTCTAATAATTGCCCCTTTTCCTTATGATAAGTGCCCCTTTTTCATTCAGATAAGTGCCTCTTTTCACCTCTGATAATTTTCCTTTCAACAATATAAAATAATACCTTATAAATGCCCCTTTTCCGTCGACAAATGCCCATTTCCTATTCTCATAACTGACCTTTTTTCAACTGGTGAGTGCCTCTCTTTGAGGTTGTAAGAAGTGCCCCTTTTTTTACCTCTGATAATTACACTTTGTACTTTAGCACATGCTCCTTTTCTTTCTACGCTCGCACGCATCTATTGATGATATACTTATGTTACTTATCAAAGGTCTTTTCAGTCTTCCGTTATGAAAATGTGCTTATAACCCCATTAGGATTAGTTTTTCCTCTTTATATTAAGATCTAATTTTTCGCACTGCGACCTCACGCATCTTAACAATTTTCCTCGCTCTGCCCAGCTGCAAAAACGGTCAGCATTTGTCATTCTACCCTCACCCTAACCCTTATTCTAATTCTAACTCTAACCCTAACCCTAGCCCTAACCCTAACCCTAAACATAACCCTTACCCTAAAGCCTAAACCTAACCCTAAACCTAACCCTAAACCTGCAAAAACTGACCGTTTTTGCAGCTGGGCAGAGTTGTCTTTGGTCCGAGTTACCCGACTCCGTCCCTAAAATGCATGCATTTTGTTTTTGCAGGTTGCCCTCGGAGGCGGGAGAATGAAATTTATGAGCAGGATCAACAGAGATCCGGAATATCCGAGCATGCCTGGATCTCGAATAGATGGCCGTAATTTGATTCAGGAGTGGATCAACAACAAACCGGATCAGGACCGAGCCCACTACGTCTGGAACGAGGCGGATTTTAACAAAATCGATCCGGAGCAAACCGACTACCTCCTCGGTAAGTGCCTTTCCCCATAGAATACAGAAAGAGATAAATTACACTACCGATGGTGTTACCTCATAATTATTCAAAGTGCAATACATGATCATTAGCGGAATCGAAAATGATCCCTTACATGAGGACATTTTCCACAAAATATAACCTATTTTTGCCTTCGTTCGAACATGTACAAAATCCTAATATAACCCTACAGCTTATCATAATTTTCCTTTTAAATGCGTCGTTCTATTTAAAGGATCCTCTTTAAAATACATGACCACTTTTCGGCTAAATTTGTTCCTCTTTGAAGAAGAAAAAATTGTATCCACAAACATTTGAATGTTCGCGATCATCGCCCAATTTTGTTTCCTCTTGTCGCGCAACTTCTAAATATCATGCCTCCAGAAAATTAATATGAAGTGGTACAACCTGGATCACACTGACAAAGTGTTATAGATACACTTGTAAAGAAATCAGTATATCTCATTAATGCCATGCAATGATTACCTAACCAATTACCTCTACGGAAAATGACCAAGTTGTTAATTTGAACATAAACAATATGATGTTTGGGCAATAATTCGATCGCTCTGCATCTACGTCAAACCAATCGACTCTATTGTCATAAAATCGTTCGCAAATGGTACAATAATCAGAAAAAAGGTATTCCCTGAAAGATACATAAATATAGCACGGGAATCAACATCCAACATTATTTTTTAAGGTGTTGTTATATTCCCGTCTTTCATTGAATCTTCCAACGCTAAATATGGCTACAAAAGCCTTGAGACTTCCATTTTCCAATACGTTGTTCAAAAACAGGTTTAATTTGTCGTCTTCACTATAAATCCCTGGCAATTAAGATACGTCTCTACTAGAGTAGCCCTTTTCAGCCGGAGTGCCGTGACTGATAAAGACATAGTGCACAAGTTGCTTTAATTAGTTGGAAATGAGCGCTCCAAATACATTTACAAGAATTAGAGTGTGTGTGAGAGAGAGAGAGAGAGAGATAGAGAGAGAGAGAGAGAGTGAGTGAGAGAGAGAGAGAGAGAGAGAGAGAGAGAGAGTGAGAGAGAGAGAGAGAGAGAGAGACATAGAGAGAGAGAGATAGACAGACAGGTTGCTGAGCTTTTTAATAGGTTCCTCACATTTCACCCTGTATAACCTTCTATTCAATACAATTAATTTCGACGTCTTTTCAAAGAATTAATTATTATATAATGTGACACTTTTAGTTTATTTTTTAATATTATGTTCTAATGTTGTCAATTATGTTAATTCTTTTTTTGTGTGAAATGTGAAACAAATAAACTTGAAACTTGAAACTTGAGAGAGAGAGAGAGAGAGAGAGAGAAAGAAAAAAAAAAGTAATACTGAAAAGAGTAATTCTGTCACAAAATTACGACTAGGGAAAACTGATTTTACATAGTGTGAGAGTCGCATTGAAAACAAGGCATTATAGGGGGGGGGGGGTGGTGTTTTGCATATAAACTACAAACAACTGCATCGTTAACTGACAGATCTGCTGTTTTTTATGAAGGATTTAATTGCAATCCCCAAAATAGAAGTCTCGGCCTAAGGCGAAAACAAGCTTATTTATAGGCATGTTACAAAACATGCAGTATCTAAGGAACAACAGAAAACTTTAATCACAAGTCTGATGAGTAAATATCGACAGTTCAAGGCGTCATAGGACGCACACGACTAATCTATCCGCCCCCAATGCATTATGGACGTGCATGCAGAACAAAGTGGATATGATATTAATTGATTAAATAAATGCATATGAAATTGAATAACTGATCACTGTCAGTTTTGAGAATGCAAATGATGTTTGATAACCATAGGCTCCTCGATTTTCCCCTAGGCTGAAGAAGTAGAGGTGTTGTGGACGAGTGGATAAGTCGCCGGACTGTGGATCACAAGGTCCGTGGTTCAAGTCCCACCGCAGCACTAATGTCCTTTGGCAAGACATTGATCTACATTTGCCACTCTCCACCCAGGTGTTAAATGGGTACCCGGTAGGATGCGAAAGCTGATGTGGTTAGATTAGCAAGTGTGCGCATGTAAAATGACGCCTGGCCGGAATGCTCCCCAGGGAGTGGAGAATGTGCATACATTGTGTGTGGGTAAGCCTGAATCCATTGACCGGGGTAATAATATACTTATCTGTAAAGCGCTTTGTGAGGGCCTCTGGTCCTGAAAAGCGCTATATAAGAACGAGCTATTATTATTATTTTATGTCTGTATTTACACATTTGAAGTCGGTTGATTGGCCAGAGTTGTTTGGCCACGTTATACAGGTCTTAACAATTTTGTTTGAGCCGGGAAAATGCCCAAATAAGGCTCTTCATTCATGACATTTTTATATTTTGTCGCTTCTCTGAAAATAAAAACGGATTACAGCGAGAGGTTTTCAAAATATGATTTATGTATTTTTTCAACTTAGCACGCAAGTGAATGTCGGCCCCCAATTAGTTGCGTGACCCCTATTCCATCATACCCAATAAGCATCAGATTATGTAGGGTTTGAATAGCGCCGTAATCCATTTTTATTTTCAGAGAAGCGATAAAATATAAAAATGCCACGATTGAAGAACATACGTCTCATTTCTAAACTTTACTGGGAGCAGACAGCTGCCATCAAAGTTAACAGTGAAATTACAGGTTACACACAAATCAAAAGAGGAGTACGTCAGGGGTGCGTAATGTCCCTATCTCTGTTCAACTTGTGCACAGAGTTGGTATTCACGGAAATTTCAGATATGAAAGGTGTTAGTATTGGGGGTGTAAATATTAATAATTTACGTTATACTGATGACACTGTACTTTGCGCAGAGAATGAAGCAGAGTTACAACATGTATTGGATATTGTAAAAGTCAAAAGTGAAGAGTTTGGTCTAAGCATGAATGTCAAGAAAACTAAGTCAATGATTTTTTAGTAGAACAGAGAATAAGCCTAGAATATGTTTGGAACTCGATGGACATATCATTGAGCAAGTCAGTAATGACATCTACTTAGGACAAAATATCACAGATGATGCCAGATGCGAAGCAGAAATAAAAAGAAGAATATAAATTGATCGGAATACATTTCTGGCAATGAAAGGATTATTCACAAATAGAAAGGTAAAATGTGCGCTTAGGTTGAGACTAGTAAACTGTTATGTATGGTCCGTCCTATTGTATGGAGCAGAAACATGGACAATAAACAAGGCCATGGAAAATAGAATAACATCTTTTGAAATGTGGATCTACAGAAGAATGATGAAAATATCCTGGAAACGTATGAAAACCAACAAAGAAATATTGCACATGACAGGGCGTAAACAAATTGCACTAGTTGGATGAGTTAAGGAGAGAAAAATCAAATACTTTGGTCATGTTAAAAGACACCAAAGCCTCTTAAAGGATGTATTGGAAGAAAGAGTGGAAGGAAATAGACCTAGAGGAGACCAAGAATCAACTGGGAAGAGAATGTCAAGAACTGGACTAAAACTGCAAGAGTGCACCAGAATGGCAGAAGATAGAGTGAAATGGAGGGATGTTGCAATCAACCTCCGAACCGGGAGAAGATACTCAGATAGATAGATAGATAGAATAGCGCCAACTACAGAACCTTTCCCAACAGTTCAGTCAATAGAGCAATTCACCCGAAACAAATTGTAAAACAACATACTAAATATTTAGGCAAATTTAAGGGTGAAAAGTAGTTAGATTGGCATAATATGCGAATTAGAATTTATATTTGACCTCTAAATGTCCATTCAATTACTAAATCTAAAGGGTATTTAAGGGTCAGTGAACGCAATGTCATTTTCAAAATAATTTCATCAATAAGATTTGCATAGTTGTCAAAATAACATCGGCCATAGAGAAAATTTTTGTCTTCATAATTTCGCGTCTAAGACAATTCGAAAATATCCTTGATGTCCTTTCAATTAGGTCTCTTCGAGTACAGCCTCATGAAATTCGACATCCGTCGCGACAACGACACGGGAGGCGAACCCAGCATCGCCGAGATGACCGACAAGGCCATCCGGATCCTCAGCAAAAACCCCAACGGATTCTTCCTCTTTGTCGAAGGTAAGGTAACTATGGAGCTATGATGAGGGGCATCGGTAGGCAACCCTATGGGGGGGGGGGGGCAGGGCATATCTCCCACTGATACTCCCACTCACTTATTTTTTTTCTACATATCCATTACCAGGGGCGTACGCACGATTTTTTTTTTTTTTGAGTCCAAAAAAAAATCGCGACGACTAAGCCAGCCGAAAAGTCGCTCAGTGGGGGGGAAGGGGGGGGGGGGGGGGGTAAGCGGACAAAAAAATAATCCAAAGGGGGGGGGGGGTTTACACACATAAAAATACCAAGGGGGGGTTTGAACCCCCAACCCCCCCCCCCCTGCGTACGCCCCTGTCCATTACAACCTCTTTTCTAGTCGACAAATTTTAAGATATAAAGGGGGTATCTCACTGAGCGGCGAATTTGGATTCGCCAACTTTTCTGACGAATGTTGGCGAAAATCAGGGTTCGCCCTTTTGAATGTTCAAAATTTCTTTGCGACAAGAAAAACTGTTTGCGAACTTTCTTGCAACCTTTTACAAACCTTTTGCAACCTTTGACGAACCCTGCTGAAACCACAAAGTCGGCTACGTTCGCAAGCATTCGCCGCTCAGTGAAATACCCAGGTTTCGCCAGGGTTCATAAAAGGTTGCAAAGCTTCGTTAAAGGTTGAAATTTGTTTTTCCGCAAACTGTTGCAAGCGTTTGCAAAACAGTCGCAAGCCTTTGCAAATGGTTGTAAGACGGTGTCGCCGAAGTTCTTTTTGATTCGCCAATCTTAGCGACCACGTTACCATATGGTTCCTATATAAAATCGACTCATTGAGTACCAGGAGTTAGCGAAAGGTCCCAAACATTTACAAATAGTGACAAAGGATTGGCAAATAGTTGCTAATCTTCGAGAAAGAAAAAAATTGTCGCTCACATTCTGCTTACAGTCGCTAATAGTCGCCAACTTCCTTTCGCAAACACTTTCGCAAACACTTTCGCAAACATTCGCTCAAATGTTGCTAATATTCACTAAACATCACTAACAGTCGCTGATTTTCGCCATTTCGTCAGAAAAGTTGGCGAATCCAAATTCGCAACGTTTGCAAGCATTCGCTGCTCAGTGAGATACCCCCTTAAAGGATACGTTACACTACAAAATGATGAAGTGGAGGTGTCGTGGTACAGTGGTTTATTTTCACTTGACTCTCAAACCAAAGGTTGACGGTTCCAATCCCAGCCCGGCGCTAACGTCTTCTCGAAAGACATTAATCTCAATTTGCTGCACTCCACCAAGGTTAGCTCAGCACTGTGAGCGTCTTTAAAATGGCGCCTGGCCTGGAATGCGCCCTAGGGAGTGGAGAATGCACATACATGCACAATATTTGTGTGTACAATCAAGCTTTAATCCGATGACCGGGGTTAATGAAAATGTAAAGCGCTTGTGATAAGCGCTATTTATACCCTGAATAGGATTATTATTATAATTATATTTTTTTAATCATAGTTTTTAAAACCATAATCATTATCTTTATCAATATTAATGTTACTATTATTATTATTTGTATTATCATTATTATTGTTGTTGATATTTTTATATAAGTGCTGATTCTCTGGCCTGCAATGATCACGGGGCACCTAATATGTTTTTTCACGTTCCCTTTCCAACTTTCTCCCAGGCTCTCTTTCTCTCTCTCTCTCTCTCTCTCTCTCTCTCTCTCTCTCTCCCCCTTTCTTTATTCTCTCTTTTTTACCCCCATCAAATCATGGCACAAATGCCCCGTATCCCTGAAGCTTTGTTACCGAGGAAGATAAATTCATGAGAAAAGCGTTTTTAAAGATCATGGCATCATCATTCCTAATCCTAATTCATTCATTGCTAGTAACGACCATGATCCCTGAAAATATGCTGCCGAGGAAAATAAATTAATGAGAAAGTCTTTTCAAAGATAATGGAATTATCATTCCTAAACCCTATTCCTAATTCATTCATTACAAGAAGTCGTATCGACCATGATCCCTAAATCCAAGCTGCCGAAGAAGATAGATTCTTAAGAAAAGTGTTTAAAAAATTAATGATGGAATCATCATTCCTAATCCTAATTCTGTATTGGTAGTAACGACCATGATCCCTGAAGTTATGCTACCGAAGAAGATAAATTCATGAGAAAAGTGTTTGTAATGATGATGGAATCATTCCTAATCCTAATTCATTCCTTACAGATGGTCGTATCGAACCATGGACCTTAAATGCATGCTGCCGAGGAAGATAAATTCTTGAGAAAAGTGTTTAAAAAAATGATGGAATCATCATTCCTTACATGTGGTCGTATCGACCATCATCCCGGAAGCTTATGTTACCGAAGAAGATATATTAATGAGAAAAGTGTTTTTAATGCTGATGGAATCATCGTTCCTAATCCTGATTCATTCCTTTCAGGTGGTCGTATCGACCATGGACATCACTTCGGCGTGGCCAACCTGGCTCTGACGGAGACGGTGGCGATGGACAAGGCTATCGACGTCGCCCTCGGATTGGTCGATACCGAGGAGACCCTTGTCATGGTTACCTCCGACCACGCCCATACATTCAAGATGGCGGGCTACTCGGCTAGGGGAAACCCCATATTAGGTAAAGAAAAAATATATTAACAATGTAATGGGCTGTAGTAGCGTTTCCATCCTAGAATGAAGTTTGCGCGAGGCCCCTTTTTGAAGACTCAAGAAGAAAAGTCAATATTTAGGTTTATATATCTCCCTAGTCCAGCCTCTGTACCGTTTTCGTTTAGCGCACCCAATCAGCGGATAAAATAACACACCCTCAACGTTGAAAGTAGACCTAGCCATTCCTCTAAATCTGGGTCCTGAATACGTGTGGACGGAAATTTGGGGATTGCGCGATCAGTGGAGAGACCGCGCTGTGTGTGGGGGATAAAAAAACGAACGGACTGAATCTGGACTAATATCCCCCTCACTTAGCTGGAGGGCAGTGACGTAGACGTACAATTTATTGGGAGACGTCAGCCCCAATGGCGGATCCAGGGGGGGGGGCCCCCCCCCCTTGAGAAAAAAAATCATGTAAAATCACGTGATTTTTACCTTTTTGGGGGGTTGGGCCCCCCCCCCCCCCTGGCGCTCAAGGGGGGGGGGTGCAAATCGAAAATTTGTTTGAGGATCAAAAAAAAAAAAAATGTGCTCACTACCCCCCCCCCCCCCCCCCCCCCTCTCTTTGGTACATAAAATGAGCTGCAAAGGGTACGTGAGCATTTGTCTACATCAATAACCCACTTCTTGTAATGGCAAAAATTAAACTTATTGAATCTTTGCGCAGCACAAAACGTACGACCATTCCGTACAAGGGTCTGAAAATCAGACTATTACGAATGATACGTTGCAATCACTAACGTCGATTCGACAACTAATGGTCGATATTTTCCCACTAAAAAGAAATCTTCAAGCCCTCTCGTTTTGAGGGGAGTTCTAAATTAGTATTATCTTTAAAATGCCGTTGGAATTTTACCTTTTCATTTTTTGGCCTGCAAATCGGACATAGTGGGCCTACCAGGTTGAACGAGTAACGGGTTGCATGAACATGATATAGCTGGGGAGGGGGGGGGGGATACTTCACAAAGACTAAGATCGACTTTAAGTTGGACTTAACTATGGCAGGCTGTTTATGCCACTAGTTCCTCTAACCATTCCTGGCATTGGTTTCTCAGGGGACGTACAAATCGTGGTCACAAATCTACAGAATTTAAATTTTGTGATAGTTCATTGAAAAAATATCATCTAAAGATCAAAGTTGAGAGACCAGTGGTGAGAGCAACCGGGGGCATAAACAGCCTGCCATAGTTAAGCCCAAGTAAAAGTTGATCTTAGTCTTTGTGAAACACCCCCCCCCCCCCCCCCGCCAGGTCTCGCACTGGAGCGGAGGTATATTATAACCCTTCATGAGATTTGAAAAAGGTACTAGTAGTTAGTCTAGCAATCCTCCTCCTTTCAGCACGTGTAGGCTACTCCATCCAAGATCTTGAAACATGGAAGTAACATTACTTTGCCCGTCGATTGCCAAAAAGACAAAATCTTTATATTTTCTGTATGAATTGTGTGCTTTCTCTCGCAGGCAAGTCTGATGGACGGTCTACCGATTTGGGGTCATACACCACAGTCGGCTACATGAACGGACCCGGTGCGATCATTTCATCTCTCTCCTACAGACTTCTTGGACGGCGCCCTCCTGTGACGGATGCTAACACAGGTGTTGTAACTTTTCCCCCTCAACGCATCCGACACTAGTCGCCATGCATTACTCAGGAAATTATCTCAATATACCGAATAAATTCAATTGATCTCCAGAAACGAAAAATGAAACGTTTTTGGTTCATCAAAAGTCTATTGTTAAAAAAACCCAAATTACCGCACGAAAGATTAGTTAGGCTTATGTGATGATTGTAATCAAATGAAGTAACCGATGAACTTCTCTTCTTTCCATAGAATTGTATATATTTTATTTCATATAGAACTCGATTCAAGAAAGAAAATTAAATACTATTCAAGTCTTGGGAGGACCAACGGAATCAATTATTTTTTCTAATATCCTAGACAGTTATGCTTCTAAAAAAGTTTGCAACTCAGCCCGCCTTTTATAAATTAAACAATCCTTTCGTAACTACAGGAAGACCGTTCTACCTGCCCCAGGCTGTCGTGCCGACGTTCCTCGAGACACACGGAGGTGACGATGTCGCTATCTTCGCCATCGGACCCATGTCCCACCTCGTACACGGCGTTCACGAGCAGAACTACGTGTCCCACGTGATGCAGAGGGCGGCCTGTATCGGCTACTACGCCGACAACTGCCAGCCCGTTCAGGCCGCGGCCGGCGATGACGACTTTGGCACGCTCTCCGACGCGACTGCCCTTCGCGTGGATGCTAAGCTTGGCATTTTGCTTGTGTTTTCCGTCCTCTTGGCTTTGGTCAAGATTGCTTAAAATCATCCAATTCGTCAACCCCACTTTATTCACATTATTTCTGTTAATTTTTAATAGGAGGATGATCAAGGCAACATGAGCATTTAAAAATAAATCACTTGTTCTTTTGATTTTCATCTAAAAATGTGAGTAACTGAAGAAGAAGAAAAAATGGCTACACATTCCCAGCGAAGTTTTCGAAGCTCCTAAGATTGGATTAATTATTTAAACCTTTTATACAGTGATTGTGGGAATATCTTTTTTTTTCTTGGTGGATACAATTTATATCTTCTAGATCTTCTGAGAAGATCTAAACAATTTCATTTTTTGTATAATTTCCTCTACATAATCTTGATGGGGAGTTATTGTCAATTTACATGTCTTATCCCAACTAATAACGCTTTATAGGCCAACATATAGTCAGTTTATACATTTAATTTCCCATTTACTTTACTAATAACACATCTCCAAGGAGACAAAATATTCTATGATGCACGTTTACAAAATGTTTTATAATGTTTAGTTTCTCTATTTCTTTTTTCTTTTTATTTTAACGCAACTATGACTGCATTATTGATTCATGTTATTTAAAATAATGATTACAGAGACTTTTAAAGACTTTGTTTACTTGTTTTCCTTGTTTCAACTGAAATATGTCTCCATGTCAATCATTGTACTCAAACCGTATTTCCCTTGTTTATCATGGTAGCACCAGATGAAAAAATATTTGTAAAGCGTATAAAGATGGCATGTTTAGTATTATCCTGTTTGATACAAAAATAAAACTAATCTTGCTTTGACTTTAATCAGTCATATTCCCTGATCTATCTCACAATATTTTGGTCATAATTGTAATAGTATCACAATCACAAGTATCACACTCATTGCTATGAGGTTACTCTTATCAATATTACATTATCATTTTAGCGAATGTCTTCCATAATTATGCTCCGCTAATCCTAACTGAAAAACATGACTTATATAATTTTTGCATGCAAATTAAACAAATAACATAACTCTTCGCTTGCATTAGTCTCTATTTGTATAGTTTTGGGTTGGTCCGTGTTTCCTTGTATCTTTGTTTAAAGCCCGGCTGTACTAGTTTGGCCAGGGGGTTAGACCTCCCTGCAAGGTCACTGACAGGTGGTCGGTTATCTCATCGAATCAGCTCTCAATTAACATAAGAAATAGCGAATCATGGGCCAATAGGCACCGATTATGCATTGTTTGCTATATAGAGGGCGCAAGTAGCTATAAGCTAGTGCAGTGGGGCTTTACGGTAACAATATTATATAGTAAAAACAGCGCCATGAGCGTCAGAACCTGACGGATACCGGCGCTATATAAATAACCATATTATTTATTTATTATTATGTAAGACATACTTCGTCATATCTCCTTCTTTCGAGGCATAAAATTATTGTACAAGACCTACCTCTATGTGCCATTGAGAACTACACCACTTTGGACGATCTGATTCGTTTCTATTCGTTAGACTTTTAGTTCTTTCTTTTTCTGATAACTGTCCTTGTGCATCGTCTGGATTCGCAGGGGGTAGTACGATAATTTGGAGCATTTTTGAAAGTTCAAAAGCATGAATATTCGGAATTAGGTATATCCGTATAGTACACGGTATGTGCACATTCTCCACTCCATGGGGAGCATTCCTGCCAGGCGCCATTTTATAGACGCTTAGAATGTTAAAGAAACCGCCAATAAGTTTTGCATCCTTCGTGAACACATTTACCACCTGGGTTGAAGAAGCAATGTAATAGGGACACAAGTGCTGTGTCGGGATCGAACTCACATCATTCACGCCCATCTCCAGCCAAGTATTTAAACCACACAATCTCTTTTCAAATCTTTGTTGTTAGGAGAACATGATATACAACGCAATTAAAATTTGATTTGGTTCGCTTCAAAGAGAATGTTGAGTTATGGGAAAGGTAAATTGTTATTTGTGAGCTTTTTCATTCTTTTTATGTTCGTGTGGAAGAGTATCGTAACAAAAAATATCTGCTGATAAATTCTTCATTTTCAAAATATAGTTACAGCTAAAGGTTATGCCATTTTTGTGTGTAGTTCATATACACATTTCTGTGTACAGTACATGTGACCCATAGCAAGACTGCATGAGTCGATTTCTTATCCTTTTTGGTGATTCTAAAAGCTCACAGCATACACCAATAATATATGTGCTACATGGTCAACTTTTCCAATCACTTTCACATAGTTTCTTTCACATCGCATTTGCATGACCAGTTCTCAACTTTATCTTTAATTTTTAAAGATGTAACAACAGTGTGAATGGGACCTAAAAAATAGAAATAAAACTCCTCCCTGCAGCTGTCCAATGTCAATCATCAACATTACTAGCGTAAACATTTATGATTTTTAATTAGCGATTTTTCTGTAAAAGGAGCCGCCCTGCCGATAAAACTGTTAGTAATAAACTACTAAAGAGCACATTATTTTGCAAAGCGATTTTGCGAGGCGTCAATTACCATGAACATAATATTTAACGCCTCCGTAAATGATATCCAGATAAACTGTTTACCGTTTAATGTTGACCATGTTTTCACCTCTCCTTCACATTTCAATTTCTCTTAAGAATATAGACAGGATCATCCGTTGTCCAATTGAAAAGTCCCCTTTCTGTAATGCAAAAGATGTTATCCCTTTGTGATACAGTTTTCTAAAACATAATTATGTTAAAGGTACTATGTCCCATTTGCAGGCCAAAAAAATGAAAAAGTTAAATTACAACTGCATTTGAAAGATAATACTAATTTAGAACTTCCCTAAAAAAGGTGGGGCTTGAAAATGTCTTCAAGTGGGAAAATAACGACTATTAGTTGTCAAATCGACTTTAGGGCTAAAGAGCCCAAAAGTAATAGTCTTGATTTTCAGACAATTGTACCGAATGGTTATACGTTTTATGCTGCGCAAAGATTCAATCAGTTTAATCTTGGCCATCACAAGAAGTGGGTTATTGATGTAGACAAATGCTCATGTACCCTTTACAACTCTTTTCATGTATGTTACCAATGAAGAAAAAAGCCAGCCAGTCACTCAATAGTGTCTGACAGTAAAGTCTAGCAAGTAAACGGGTTTCCTTGCATAATTTGAATATGAGGACACTGCTAATGTTTAAATTTCACAGACAAGACATACATGACATATTCATAATTCCTGCAAAGTTCTACAGAATTTGAGGTTGGCTGCAAAAGGGACATAGTACCTTTAAGTTCGATTGTTCCTGAATTATGAATACACAACATCTCAATATATTGTGGGAAAAAAGTGATACAATTTCGGAAAAAATATATTATAATCATTTCGTGAAAGCATGCCCTTTGTTTTGCTATGTTTTCTGCAGTCTTTGGACACGCCGTACTATTTCCGTGCTATCAAATGGCGATAATCATGACGCATTTAGAATTCATTTATTTTTTCCAGGTTTTATTGCTTCCTATAATTGGTACGATCATTAGCGCCAAAGCACCCTAAAGTGAGGACAAATAAAAATAGGTAACTTTACGCTCGACATATTTTCTGAGGTTCATTGCCCCCGAAACAGGCAAGAATACAGCGTGGGGCAAGTATTAGCGAGGGCACCGCTAGAGGGGCGGGGATAAGGAATAATGACACCTACCCCTCTGCAGTCAAAGTTTCTGTTGGCAAATTTTAGTTTGAAATTTGCCACCCTTGTCTTTGTTATGTCCAGTTATTTAGCTTTCAACAATTAAAAAAAAAAAACAAGGGGAGGGAAAGAGAGGAGCTCTAATTTTGACAAGTTTTTGTCATAAAATATCTTTTGCTGAAGTGGATAATTAGCTGCCCCTTCGCCCCTCAAAAAAACCCTACATCCTGGATACGCCTTTCTGTAAAGAAAAATATTCCGCTGTACTTTCAGAGGCCCATAACATAGAAACTCCTTATTTATGTTGATGCATTTTTCTTCCCCTGCCCCCACCCTCCGCCATTTCCACCAAAAACCTGTCCTTCATCGCGGCAGACGAGAAGCGAATCGTTCGGAGCTAATAATTCGGTTATCTAAAGAGAAGGGTGCGGCGTCGGAACGACTGAAAGGTACTGTGGGGCAGATAAATAATCGACGATGATCATCGACTTCATTTGCTAATTACTTGGTCTCCTGCGGCGATTCTTACGATTCGCCCGTAGAGATTCGCCCAATCCGCACGCACGGTGAACCTCGACCGGTTCAGTTCAAGTTGCGAGCAGAGCGTACGCCATTTGTAGCCTGTGTTCGAGGAAATTCTAGCGTAGGGTTCCAAATGCTCATCTTTATATTGCCCATACTTTTAGCGATGATGAAAATTCGTGATAATTACATGGAATGTTTAGAGAAATGAATAAAAACTTGTATCTTTATATAAGAGAGACCAGTTCCCATGAATGTATTATCAAAGTAGGTAAGTCAATATAATATAATTTGTCAGGTTGTCTGTCGAGAGCCGGAAGGGCACAACTTTGCAATAGAGTTAGCACCTTTTTTCTTTCAAATTAAAATATTTTAATGATGTTTGAACATGAAGATACTACATGTATATCAATACATCCTGTAATGAAGGGAAAAAAATACTGTTGTATCTTAAATAAATTGTTTGTACAAAACGTATTGTCGAAATCTTTTTTTGTAAGCTAACATACGCTAACAACGCTACTCTCGATTATAAAGCTACAAATATATGAAATAAATGATTATTGTGTTTATGTAGGCTTCTATACCACTATCCATATATCCTTCAGTGGCTGTTACCCCCTGTCATTTTCTGTTATAGATATTATGCTCTTTCCACTTATTTACTTGGCTAACCTATCTGCATTTTAAAATTTAGAGTTGCAAATCAAATCTTAAAGCCTCTCTAAAGTGTTGGGAGCCCCAAAAATTTGATGGCAAAATTTCACCTAAATTGTATCTTAATGTAAAAAAAGATGTCATTATTTTTACACACACTTCTGCAAGGATTTTCGAAACAAATTTCGAATATTCTGGATGAAAGAATACAAAATTGTGGTTTTCTGCGTACAACACAAAACCCAGACTAAATATGGTATTCTGTCATTGATATTCGTCTTCAAACACATTTGTTTTGAAAATCCTTGCAGAAGTGTGTATTTTTTGGTAAATGTTGGGCTCCCAACACTTTAGAGGGGCTTTAACTTTAACATGACTAATTTACTACTTTGATGACTCATCGAACCAAAATCAAAGTACAATGAACACTCGTCATTTTACGTTACATTCAGCACCCGGTTCAGAACTCATAAACATGTCTATGACAATGCATTCTTAACTATATACAGACTTGAAGCTTTAAAATTCTTCCTGAAGGAATTTAAAGATAATCAAGTCATTCAATGACTGTTTAAGAAAATTATTTGTCCATCAGCATTCCAGCTATATTGGTGTTTATCAAGTTTAGTCCAATTTTTTGTTTATTTGTTAAAGGATCTTCGTATCAGTCTATATATCAGTCACTGAGGGGCACTTGCTAGCCTGATGGAGCAAAGCGACGGAACGCGGAATTTCTTGGTAGGATACAAGCATGGACCATGATATATGGCCATTATGGTGTCTCTCGTTATCATGACCTCCCCCCCCCCCCCCACTCTCTCTCTATCTCTCTTTCTTTCTCTGTCTCTGCTCCGTTTCTCCCCACTCTCTTTCTTCTTTATTGTTCTTACTTATATTTCCTTTTCTTTGCGGGGGTATATACAAGGGTGAGGGGGGGGGGGGTCAAAGTTATTAAGAGAGCTTAACTTTAAACTCACCCTCTCTCTCTCTCTCTCTCTCTCTCTCTTCCCCTCTCTCTCACTCACTCACTCACTCCCTCCTCCTTATTGTTGTCCCCGTTCCCCCGTCTCAATCTCTCCTTTTCTCTCCCTCACTCTCACAATATCATTCAACAGTAAGTTACTATGCCTTCACTCATCCCTTCTAAAAAGCTCATCAATAATAAACGACTTGTCAATAGGCTAAAAGAGCCAGTGTCAC